TCTTGTTGAGTCCTCGATAGTCAACACACATTCGTAAAGATCCATCTTTTTTCTTTACAAATAAAATTGGAGCTCCTGTTGGAGATTTTGAATGGCGTATGAAATTCTTCGCTAAATTCTCGTCAATATATGTCTTGAGTTCAGCCAACTCATCTTGCGATAAACTGTAAATTGGTCCAAATGGTGGCTGAGTTCCTTCCTTGAGATCGATTGAACAATCGTATGGGCGATGCTCAGGAAGAATATCTGCATTCTTTTTCTCAAAAACGTCTTGATAATCCTGATATTGACTTGGAATGCCACTTGAAGTCTTTACGCTTTCAGAAATAGGTGCAGCATAAATAGCAAAAGTTGATCCTTCTTTTGCTGCATGTATAAATGCTTTTGCACCTATAGGTGTGAGTTTTACTATACTAGACTCATGGTTTTTTACTTGGTTAATAGAACTGTTACTAATGCTCTGAGGAAAATCAAGTTTACGAGAAATCCAATCTATTCGAGGATTATACTTTTCTAACCATGATAAGCCTAAAATTACTGGATTAGAGGGAGATCTAATTATATTAAAAATTACGCAACTACTATGACCATTTATTACTACATCTACAGGAAGTGTTTCGTGAGTTACATCTCCAGAAGACAACGGACGACCATCTATGACTTCTACGTGTACAGGTTTAGTTTTTTGTATTAATGATATTCTATGACATCTAGCAAATTCTTCATCTAAAAAACAAGATGAGGCTCCTGAATCTACCAAGGCAGAGGCTTTGTAATTATTAGGTCCTAAACGCACATCTATTATAAAACAAGGAGATGGTTTTGAGGAGAGGATAGGACCTTTATTAGAAGTTGTACAAGATTCCAGCTGCACGGTCCCTATTGTAGCTGGACGTACTCGTTTTCCAACATACTGTCTTCTTTGACAGCCGTACTCCTCATTTTGTAGTTACGTCGCTTCTTTGAACAATGTTGAGCAGTGTGCTTAGGTTCTCCACAATATAAGCACAATCCTTCTTGTCGACGACGAGACTTTTCTTGCTCAGTAAGAGGTTTGAAACGTACCGCATCAATTTGCATATCCTCTACTTCCGAAGGTATGTATTGAGGAGACGTCGATGTTGCCATTGAATTGTAGTAACGTTGAGGCCCACTTGTGCGACTCTCGGATCGAAATTCAAAAAGTCGATTGTCGCACTTCACAGCAAAGTCAATTGCTTGACTCAATGTTTGAGGATCAGGTAAATTAAGCATCAATTTCTTTACCTCATATTGTAATCCGTAGAGAAATTGACTCACAAGTGAGGCATCATCCCACTTGATATCAGTTACAAGTTATCGAAATTGCGAAGCATATAATGTTACTGATCGATTGCCTTGTCGCAAAATACGGATCTTGTTGGTTGTAACACGAATTGCATCATGTTCTCCAAACATGGATCGAAACTCCGCCAAAAAAGCCTCCAGATTATCCAATATTGGATCTCGTCGTTCAAGAAAAGATGAAAACCATGACAATGCTGAACCTGAAAGAAGTGTACCAATGAATCTTACTTGTGACCCTGGAGTTGGATAGCTCTGGGGTTGAAGTTCAATCACTAGTTGGACCTGATTGATGAATCCTCGAAACTTGGATCTGGTACCATCAAACTTCTCGGGCAAGGCAACTCTCGGTTCTCTAACACTCGAAGGGTGTTCCATTCTGGGAGAAGGGACATGGTTTGGTGCAGATGTTGAAGCAGCCCCAATCATCTCTATATCTTCACTTCCTACCATTCTTGTTGCTCCTTGTGGTGGTAAATTGAGTTGATGCATCGCAAGCATTAACTCCCTCAATTGTTCTTGCATATGTGCCATTGCACTCTTCATTTCAACAAGCTCTGCCATAGTAGCACTTAGAAAAGAGAAGATGTCTAACAACGCTCAAAACAAATAGAAGAGAGGAATTGATAACAAAGAAAATACTAAGAACAATATCAGTTTAAAAGAGGGTAATCCGCAACTTCTAATGCGCTTATGTCTTATCAAGAAAAAGGGGTAATCCACTCTTAATCAAGAAAAGACAAAGCTCTGATATTGTAAGTGTACTCTTGTCAATCTGTCAGGGACAAGAACTCGATGAAAGCTAAAGAGTAAGTGAGACTTTTCTCAAAAAGAAATAGGACAAAATAGAAATATGTATATTAAGAAAGAAACTGGAATGGCTATTGCCAAAATACAAGAAAACTAGAGACCCTTGAAACTAGACTAGAAGCAAGAAAGGAGTTGACAAGAGTGAAGAGGGCTTCACTCTTGCCTCTATATATACTATCTAACTAGAAGCCACGTGGCGATGTTCTATAAGACCTCCAATATATGTTGACTTTCTAGGCCACATGCCTTTGCTTGCAAGGCAAGTTTTCTATGGATAGACCACGTAGTTAGCTTGTTCTTTAAGCTTCCAACATGCGTGGCACATGGCTAACTTGTTGACCAAGTTTCTAACCTAAAAGTCAACTATAGACTCCTATAAAGTCAAAGCAGCGTCTATGAAGCTTCTAAGAAGCTTCTCTAGAAGATATTACACAATTAACCTACTTTTACATACTTTTATCTATTCATATAGGTAATTATATGTATGTCCGTGACAGTATCTACCAATCTTATTGCTCTTTGTGGTGGTAAATTGAGTTGATGCATAACAAGCATTAACTCTCTCAATTGCTCTTACATTTATGCCATTGTATTATTTATTTCACTAAGCTTCATCAATATACATAATAAGAAAGAAGATGTCTAATATGTCTTAAAATAAATAGAAGAGAAGATTAGAAGACAAAAGAAATTTTAAAAATAATATTAGTTTAGAAGTCCATAATTTATAAGTTTTAATAAATTTATATCATATAAAAAAAAAGACATAATCCTCTTTTAATCAAAAAGAGACAAAACTAAGATATTGTAAGTATATCCTTATGAATTTATCAAAGATAGAAACTTGATGAAGATAAATAAATAAGTGAGATTTAAAAAAAATAAATTATAATATAAAAACAAGAAAATATGAATAATAAAAAGAAATTAGAATGGCTATTGCCATAAGACATAAAAATATATAATTTAATATATATAAAAATAAAAAAAATCAATAGAAGATTGCATTTCAAACTAATTATGGGCATTTTGAATATAATGTCATACCTTTTGAATATACAAATGTGCCAATTTCTTTTTAAAATAAAATGAATAATATTTTTTGATATTTTTTAAATGATTTTGTTATTTATTATCTAAAATATATTTTGATCTATTCTAATAACATATAAAAATATAGATTTTATAATTATTATATATTATAAAAACTTAGATATATGATTATATGCCAAAATTAAGAAGTATATATTTATCATAGCTCAAGTTGATTTTTTAAAATATATAATTTCAATTGATGGTCTTATGATATATTTTTTAAAAAATTGAATTATTTTGGATTAAAATATTCTAAAAATTACAAGATATGTTTATTATTTTTTAAAATTTGTCAATCACTATTAGATATGTATTAAAAAAAAATCTTAAATTGTAACTTTGCTTGCACTTTTGACTTATAAATACAAATTTAAGTAGAATAATAAAACTAAATTATTGTGGATAATATTAAGCATGACCAACATAAAAATATTATCCACCATACTAACTTATACCAAATATTATCCAATTAAGGATAAATAGATAATTAATTATTTTATTATAATATAATATATTTATTTTATATTATTATTATTATTATTATTATTATATTTTCAATATTTTGTGTCATCATTGATTTTTTAAATTTTTTAATCATTTACATTTCATGTATTATTTTGTATGAGACCAACTAATCTTTGTGGGAATGCATTCATAAATTTATCATAGTCTCAATCTAGAAGAGATGGTTCTATCAATCTTTTTTATAACACACATCAACAAATACACGTATAGATGGAGTATTGTGCATCACATCACCATCTTCAGCATTGGAAAAGGAAGAATGATTTCCACATTCATCCAGAAAACTGAAAAAAGAGATTAAGAAACATTGGTAGAATTAAAAAAAAAAAACTATTTCCAGTATCTATATATATAAAAAGAATCTTAATTTACTTTCTTAAGTTTGATAATAGTTGTAGAGTATCCGTATTCTAATAATAGAAATATGATGATGATGATCCCAGGCAGGCTAATATCTAACCAACACCGCATTCATCCATTCATCCGCATTGTCAAAGCGCCCCCCTCGTCAACGGAGTGGGTAATGGCAATGCTCACCCGTTCCCGCCACGCCACGCCCCCTCTCCCCCCTAACCAGAGTTAGGTACAGAGGGGACCGTGCTGCAGGGGCAAGATGCTGACTGAGGGCGATGACGTCGCTCCCATGACATCACCACGATCTGAGCCCTTCCTCCTATTTGACCTCAGCACCAACGTGGCAGATCTGCAGGAGGAGGAGGAGAAGGAGCCATCAAAGAAAAAAAAAAGATAAAAAGTAGACCTGACGCAGGACAGGGTGGGAAAAGAAAAGAAAGAAATGGTAGAAAGAGACAACAGAGAGAGACAACAAATGGAAGGGGGGCAGGGAAAGATAAAGAGAAAGAGAGAAAGAGAGAGAGAGAGGAGGAGGGCGGAGTGAAGAAGAAGAAGAAGAGGGCGATGGATGACACTGGCAATATTAAGCAGCAAAACTATTATTAATTATTATAATTGTTATTATGGGAGGGAGGGAGCGAGAATGCGAGGGGGGGGGGTTTTGGTTGGTGTTTCTTTGCTGAAGCCGTAAAGAGCCACCACCACTGCCTCCACCACGATGATGGTGATGATGATGAAGACGCCGACGACCTTCCCCTTTCATTTCCTCTTCTCCTTTCCTTTCCTTATCCTTTTTCCTTCCGTCGGTCTTACACAGAGAGAGACTGGAGTGACGAGGGCATGACGCCGGATGGGGGCTTCGCAGCTATCCTTATTTTAGGACGTGCCTTGGCGATTGGGACTTTGACACTTAGCGTGCCTTGCGATTCTGCTTTTTCCTCCCTACATTCACTCACTTAAGTGATGACGATTACTTCGTCGACGGCCTTGACGTGCTGTGGCCTTCGTGTGCAAATATGTGAAACTCCCTGCCATTCACCAGATTTGCCACACCACAGCCCTGACGTTCCATTTCCTAAATTTGGACGAGATGGGGACGAGTTTGGAACAGTGCGTGGCCCCTTGTTATTTACTCCTCGATACACATACTCTCCTCTTTTGCTGTGCCGTAGTTGTGCACGAGGGCTGTGTGAAACTACCATGACTCTGGTGGAGAGTGAGGAAAAGAGCGGCAACGGGCCGTGGAGTGTCAGGATGGTCAGCGGGCAGAGTGTGGTCGCGTTGCGGTGGTAATTAGATGCCACAGCGCACGAACGCACTCGGGTTGTGTGTGTGGATGTGCGACGGAAAATGAGCTCGTGTTAGCTTTGTAGAGGGGGTGATGGCAAGGGCAAGGGCGAGGGCGAGGGCTTAGAAGTGTAGGTGGATTCGGATTCTGGAATTAGGGAGATTACGTCGGGAATGTGGTCGAATGGAGGGCAGGTGGAGTTCAAAACATGGAAAACTTTTCGGTGCGCTTCGGAATGCTATCTGATACTCCCGTTCCCCCCTCACGTAATTGGGTTAGGTTTTCGGATTTGACAAAATGCGAGACAGTAGTGCAAAGACAGATACTTCCTCCGACATGGATGGTGACCCTAAGGTATTCGACTTTAGTGGCAGTTTTGTTCTGATTCACTTCTAAGCCCGCTTCACATTTTTTCCGACACTCTGTGCAGTTTTCACTGATTTTATGTGCGAGAACCCAGGCCTTATGGCGAGTGTCTGTGAGCTTGTCGTATAGCTTTTTAAGAGACTGTCTTAACTGGTTCACGACCTTTTGGCAGTTAGATGACGGTCATCATTTAGTCACTGGAGGCTCAAATGACTCTAGTCACGAAGCTGGAACCAAGAACGGTGACTTCAAGGTGCGTGTGCAGGTCTTGATTTATTTTATATTTTATATGTTTTTTTCCTTTTCACTTTTAGCAATCAAGTTGTTTGACCTGCAGTCTTAAGGATTATTCTGGAAATATTTTGTTCGTTCTTCACGGATTAAAAGAATTAAAATAAATTTAGAACCATAGTCTCATACTGTGAATCTTGTCGGATTCTGTCAAATGTTCTGTTTCTTAAGTATGGCGAAATGATTCTCCAAAGTTCAGCTGCTCATGTTGGACCCTTCGTGTGGTATAGGTTCTCAGACGTCTGGCACAAAATCGTGAAGCAGCCCGAAAAAGCAGGCTTAGGAAAAAGGTGATCGATCTGATTGATCGATATTTGTATTCCTGGTTACTGAAACTAATTTTCACAGACACTTGCATTACATCGTGGGAGTGCAATGTAAGAGATTAATGGTGGTTTTATGTTACAGGCCTATGTGCAGCAGTTAGAGTCCAGTCGTATCAAATTGAACGAGCTTGAGCAAGAGCTTCAAAGAACTCGGCAACAGGTTCATCCCTACATTTTATCCATGTGCTAATCCATTTGTATCTGTATATGAGGGTGAATATTCGATATTTACTCATTGTTTTTTTCAAAAGAATTTTTTACGAGCAGTATTTGTCTCACTGATCAAATATATCAATCTCTTGTTCAAGGAAAGATAGATAGTGAGTAGCTTTGATTGCTGGTGACATTGGTGTGGCGAGAATATCCTTAGCTATTTCTACATTCTTAGTTCGAAACCTGCGGCTACAGCTTTCAACTTTTGTTTATCTTTCTAGCATATCCTCGCTTCTATAAATACCTTTTTTCGGTAATGCATTCGATTGGTTCTTTTCTATCATCCATTTTAATGTCCAAATAGTCAAAGAATTCCTCTCCAACGCTCGAGCAAGCTTTAGTTTACCGTCTCGAGCACTTGATTTATGCTACAAGTCTAACCCTGTCACTTGACCACATTTGTTGAGCCCCCAAGCTTTATGTGGCGTCTGTTTCCTGTTTTGTCTCACTCACCTTATACTAGGATGTGACTGCCATCATTTACAATGTTATTCATTGGGCGGTTCTTATTGTGTGTGCAGAAGTTGTGTTGACATTCAACATTGCAGCAATTTCTTTGATCTTTCATACGACTGGAACCTGAGTGATGCATGTTTGTGATTTTCTTAGCAGGGATTATATCTCGGACCTGGCTCGTGCAGCGTTGACCAAAATGGTCATTCAGCTGGAGGCACTTGGGGGACTAACAGTAGTTCAGGTATGTCGAAGATCGTCTGTGCGTGGTATGGGCAACGATGTTGATGATGAATAAGTGAGCTGAATCTTGATACTTTTGTGCCCAGGTTATACCTAATGCTTTGCAAACGAATTAACCCCTCAGAAACACCAGAAAGATTTTATTTTATGTTATTTTTGTTTAACGTTTTATTCAAAAGAAATGCCATTGAAGTATTCATGTAGACAGCTTACGAACCAGACTGTTATCAGCCAATCCACTTGATACCTTCGCCCAATTCAGTTATCGTTCGACCTTTGCTTAAGGATGCCGACTTGGTTTCTGATTTAGCAAGGTGTGTTGAATCTAAACAGTAGCCGCAGCCTTTGACATGGAGTACGCAAAATGGGTTGAAGAGCATCACCGGCAGACCAGTAAGCTCCGTGCTGCTTTACAGGGTCATGTCGCCGACTCTGAACTGCGGGTACTTGTGGATGCGGGATTGGCACATTATGATGACCTTTTTCGACTCAAGGCCGTTGTTTCTAAAGCTGATGTTTTCCATCTTGTATCCGGCATTTGGAAGTCTCCTGCAGAGCGGTGCTTTATGTGGATGGGTGGATTTCGCCCCTCTGGGCTACTGAAGGTGCTTTATCTACCAATTTGTTGTGCCGCATTGTCATTTGAAAGCCGGTATTGACAATTTCTCACATGCTGATCACATCTCTCATCGTGAAAGGAGAAATTACTGTTAATAATTGATTGCATCTCAAGGCCATGCTGACTAATGCTGTCTTTTGTTTTTACTGATGCAGATATTACTACCACAGATAGAACCTTTGACAGATCAACAAGCGTCAAACATCTGCAACTTGCAGAAAGCTTCTCAACAAGTTGAAGATGCTCTTTCTCAGGGGATGGAAGTACTTCAGCAATCACTTGCCGACGCTCTCTCTGTTGGTTCTCTTGGCTCATCAGCAAATGTAGCTATTTATATGGGACAGATGGCCATGGCCATGGGGAAACTTGGCACACTTGAAGCTTTCATGTGTCAGGTATATATTTATATTGATTTTGCATAGCTGGGTGTTGTATGGTTTTTTATGCGGCATTTTGGTTGGAAGTCTCGAGGCATGTTGCTTGTATCATCTAGCATTATGTGGGTTGTTCTCAGTAATGCAGTACAGTACGCTATTAGCCTTTTTTTTCAGGTCAGTTAACGATTGTTTTGATGGTTTTGACAGGCCGATAAAATACGTCAACAAACATTACAGCAAATGCACCGGGTGTTAACCACGCGCCAAGCAGCCCGGGGGCTTCTCGCTATGGGGGACTACTTTGCTCGTCTTCGCGCATTGAGTTCCCTTTGGTCTGCCCGGCCTCGTGAATGAGAAGTATAACTGTACCAGGCTGTGAAAACAGTCCTTGACGCAGGTGTGGAAGCTCCAGCAGTCAACAATCCTGATAAGCTATCCAGCTCAGATTGCACAATATGCCGTATGATGTCGTTTCAGACGAACTTCGATGATGACGGGTTGTGAGTGTGGTCGTATATTGCTACAAGGCCATGCATGGCTTGGGTACGCTTGCGTGTAACGTTGACGCAGTTCCAACACTGGCAGAATGTACTTCAAGATAAGGAAGAGGAAAACAATTACATGCATCCTATGCGTTAGAAGTTCTCATCAGATTAACGTGAACATGCCATAGGTGGTACTAAACGACCATACTACTCCATTATTTGTATCATTTCGCGCCGGCTCTCAATAGGACGTTTTGAGCTCACAGCTCCATTTGTGTATTGTTACACTGGAGGTCTGAGACTGATCACTGAAGTAAAGGTCAAAATTCTCTGTTAGGCGCTTTGAGCGTCTCATCTGGAAGCAGATGGGAAGTTCGTAGGCGCCGCAAGGATGCTACAGAAGGTTGACACTAGATTCATTATCATACTTTGAAATACCGTCGCATTGGCCAGAAATCTACTTTTGTAGATGAATTGAAAGCCACTGCATGCTTCACTCTGAGTGAAAGTATCCTGATGAATCTGATCATCAATGGTTCATCCCCCCACCCTCTTTGCATCCGCGAGATTTTCCTCCTCATTCTGTACCGTTCTCAATTGGTTGAACATCTCTCTCTCTCTCTCTCTCTCTCTCTCTCTCTGAAGCGGTTTTATTAATTGCATTTTGAATTTTGAAAGTTTGAATTGCAGAGGATTCATGTGCAGCGAATCATCCAAGTATTAATCACAGCCTTACCAATCTTCGAAACTCACGGCAATGTTTGCGGTCACCAGTTCCAATCATTGGAGAAGCCAAACAGGCACGAAGTTCGTGAACTTACCTTCTCGCTTCACTTGAGAGTACCACTGCAACATTATAGAATATATGCTTTGTGAAGATCCTTTCGACATGTATAGTGAAATGCGTTCTTACAAAGCATTCATAATTGGGTAATGCTCGGCACATTTGTGTCGCTCTTTCTCGAACGCATCTACATAAATTAGGATGTTTTTTTACCAATATTCAGTAATTGATATCTCTGCACTGATCAAAAGTTTTTTGCAGGCCTTGGCATGTAGGTTTTACTGTATGTCTCAATTCTCTTTAGTCACGCCGACAACACTCTGGATTGGCCTACTTGTGATCAATGCTCAGTGCTCCTCACATTTTGTTGCCTTCTCTTTGACATGTTACAGAGTTTCAGCAATTGTTGCTTTGCGAGTGAAAGCTTCAGATATTTAGACCTGGAGCTGCAAGAAAGGCTCACCTCGAAAAGCGGCTAGCTTTGCTGGAAGTTTTTGTACACCGCAGGATTTGTAGTCCTGATTTTGGTCCGGTCCTATAGTCGCCAATTTAGCCATGGCTCTTATTCCTGAATGACGGGATCACTTCCAGTCTGATGATCTCTGAGCGAGACTGCCATCTCTGCAATGGAACTGCCCCCATTGACTTCGATATTTTCTTGGTTGTCTATTCGATGATAGCTGCCGGTGTAGAGATTACAAACGGAGTTGCGCACTGGCAGGGTTGGAGCTGAATCCATTGGTGTTGGAGCATATTACCAGGATTCGTTTGTGAACAAGCGAGCAAGGTAGGTTTGCGTGTCTTTCATGTTTGAGGTTTTCAATTTGGTTTTGTTTTGTTTTGTTTGTTTGTTTGTTTGTTTGTGTGTTTTTGCTTTTTTGCTTTTTTTGCTTTTTGTCTTTTTTTCTTTTGTGTAAAGATCATTTTTCGGATCTTAGTACGATCCTCTCTAAATAGGATTTCACTTGTGTTGTATGGGTTCAATATTTTTGGAGAACGTAATCACCCTGCAGCCAATAAAATAAAACACCTGCTGGAGTTGCGGAATCTCGTACAATCCCGATTCGCTGAGGAAGATAAACTCCCAAAGACGTGTTCATTAGAACTTGTCAGATTCAGGAAGTTCCCTTCCGAAGCAACGGGCATCCCTGCATCTTTTTCCCGACTCTCTTGATGCTTCTGTGCGAGTTGCTAAGAAACATTAGGCAACCCTTGAAGACATCTAGTTCATCGATCGCAGTTCTTGATTAAGATGTGCATCGCTTTGATCTCTTGACGAGACCCCAGGAGTTAACTACGGTTACGGAACATGTTTTTTAAAAACTCTTGTAGAAATGGAACCGAGGTGGGTACGATTCGCTTGAAGCAAGTGCAGTGATCTGCTCAGCCTGACGGAATCAACTTAAGTCGTACAAAACTCACTGTAAGTTTCAGACACTGTTGCTCGACTGTTACTTGTGTCACGTGCCCTGTACACAGAAATTGTCTTCAATCCCATGCCACTCCAGTTCCCGATGCATCTTTCTTTTAATTGTTTTTAAAAATAAAAATAAAAACAAACATTACTAGAATTGTAAATCTCAAATCACAGATTAAATGGTTTGTGTCTTTGTATTCAAATGACATATTATCCTACAATTCAATAGTGGGAATGGATTCTTACTGTGGTGAAGAAAATAACTTAAATTCAGCAAAAAAGTAACTTGGGTACTAGCTAAGCTGTGATTCGAGAGGATATTTTTTGATCCCTATACAAGTCCAAAAGGTTGGTTAGAGCTACTCTAAGCAGCAGAGACTGCTTAACTTCGTATGGAGGGATTGGATGTTCATTTACATGTTTGTTTGTGCACAAATAGTTTCCCCGGCCAAAGGTAGGTCAATAATGGGAGTCAAAGTGAATCCAAGTTACATAAAATATGACAGCGAACTCATGAGCTGGTGAGGAATCTGCTCCTATTCATGTCAATATGCTAATAGTTTGAGGGATCTTCTGGATTACTTTTTAGTCCCAATGAAAGAAAAACGAGAATTGTAGTGTTTGGAAAGTAATTGAGTGAAGGTTGCATTGACCTTACCATGTTTTATTTCAATCTTTTCAATCCTTTTATTAGTAATTACCTTAAGAAAATTCGTTCATAGATGCAACAATTTTTTTATGACATAGCTACAAATAGAATAATTGAATGGAAACGAACAAAAGAATAATAAAAATAATGAAAATAATCAACCAGTTGTTTTTAAATGGTGCTTTATGTATATTTCTTGTTAAAACATATTTCAAATAGAAAATATGTTAATTGTATGTTTAAAAAATTACATGTGTATAGTATCCTACTAAAAGTCATTTCTTATTGAAATGTTATTTTTATTAGAATTGAATGTACCTCAATAATTTGAGTGTAAATTAATCAACATATAATAAACTCTTGTAAGGTCATATGTGTTAATATATTTCCAAAAAGCGTATGACTAATATTATGATAACTCTATTATTTTTATCAATTTGTGTTCTAGTACTTTGATGCAATAATATAAAAAAATAAAAGTTTAATTTTAATTTTTAATAGTCACCATTAATTATAAAAACTGAAACAATAAACATAACAATAAGTTCAAATATTCTATTCAAAAATTTGTGACATTATTAAATAAATTATTATTTTTTATTTATTTACTTATTTTCATCTATTTCAATTTATAAAATTCATCTAAAAATGTGTATGATAGTATGTAATTCCATCACTCATTTGAAAATTAGTTACTTTTACGTTTATAGCAAGCATATTGAAAGGTGGATTAAATGCACAGATTTCACTCAATAGTAAATATGATGCACCATCAAGTTGTAGTTTAGCATCATCTAAACTACAATGTTTGAAATCCCATGTAAATTTGTTAATTAGAATGCAATTTACACACCTTTAAAAAAATATCATTTTAATTGTCAAGTAAATGAATAGCAATGATCAATTGATCAAGTAAAAAACTCGAAAAACAAAATGAAAAAAAAAAATACATAAATGGTAATAACATAACTCAGGCTCACTACTAGCTAAAATCTTAAAATTATAATATTGACAACTTTTTCATCTTTAGATCATTAATCTTTTGGATTTGAACGTTTTTAAATACGAAAATTATTTATGAATGATATACTAAGACCTATTTATGATAATGTGATTTTTGGACATTTTGTTTTGATCTCCTCATTATATATATATATACTTTTGTTAAATTTCCATTTATTGCATGTTTCTCTACATTGATTTTAGTTTTCTTGCACTTACATGCTTATATATATATACATACACACACACACTCACATATATCAGTGTATCCAAGGACTCACTCCCTTTGTTTGTCACTTGTGTCCATCTTCAATTCTATGATTTCACTTTATTTGTGCCTATGAGTTTAGCTCATTCTTGATTCTAACGGTTCTCAAATATATATATACGCACACACATATGTTAGTAAATTTCACAACATGATTTTTTTTAATTTAAAGTTTATATATATAAGACAATGAAAACTATAGAAGAACTTAATTAACATTTGATTTATGAGAAATTAAAAAATATATATTACTATTTAATATAAAATTTATATTATTACAATATTTTTTCATAAAAGAAACTCTTAATTATCTTTTCACTTAAATTATGTTTTTCACGTATCTAAATATGAGAAAAACAAAAAAATCTAGATAAGTCACAATTCATTCAAATGTAGAGGTTTATCACATAGAAACACCCTTCCACCCTAGTATAAATAGAGTAAAAAAGAGTTCTATACATTCTTTATTTCTATTCGTCATCAATATTAACATCTGACATTCTATACTTCAGAAAAATAAATAAATAAATAAATAATCATCCTCAAAAAAATCTGTATGCATTCTCCAAAACTCTGAAGACATAACAAAGATCAATTATATTCCTTAAAGATTTAAAAATAATATGAAAAAATAAATATCCATAACATGTTGGAATTTTTTTTGTATAATTACATGGAACATTTACAATGTTACAACAAACAAACAAACAAATAAACAAAAAAAAACTCACTCAAATTTTGTTAGAATGTCATTGTATTATACCGCTGCACTTTCTCGCCCAAAGTGCTTCAAATAGAACCTCGGAGACACAAATGCCACACTTACTTTTGCATTCCCATACCCCCGGCCATGAAGGGCATGAGCCGCGTGGCATGCCGACTCATCTCGGGAATATTCTACATAAATGTTCCCTGCTTTCAAGGGCTCCATTCTGCTCATTTTGCATGTATTGCTTCCTGAGTAGCACATCACTTTTATTTCTTTATATTGATTTAATTGTTTCGCTTTATGGAATAATTGATAGATGTTTTATAGTTGTAATGTGATATAAAGTTTATTGTGAGTTTTTACTACTCTATTTTTAAAAATACAAAAGAAATACATACTTAAATGAAAATCCATGTGGTGTATTGTTTTATGTCATGTGAAAACTATAAATCCAACAATCATTGCGAGAAATACATATAATGTTTTTTATCAAGTAAAACAGAAAAATAAAAAATAAAAATTTGTGTGTCTTACATACACACTTTCCCATGAGTATTACTATTGATTTTAAGTGTAAATAATTGAGTGGGTTTTTGGATTTACCAAGTAAATTGTTGGGATTTAAGCTTGATGAAATTGAAGTAGAGATTTGAAGCAGGGGTTGTTTTTCAATTTCTTCTTTGGTATTGCAATCCACATCTTTGCATCCATCTTCCAGTTTTATTTCTTCCATGTTGTTTATTTCTTTATTAGTAGAATCCTCAACATCATTCCCACAATTGTTGGCAATGGATTGTGGGATTCTCTCCATATCCTTCAACTCACAAGTTTCATTTGTAATTGCTATGGTGGGAATATTGGATTCTTCTTCATTATTTGAAGGCTCTCCATTTGTACCCATTAGAATTTTCTCTTCTTTCTGATCTATGGTTTTGCATACCTACATTCAAAAAAGATAAAAGATAAAAAATAAAAACTAAATTTCATTATTGGTTTTAAAAATGTTTATCCTTAAAAATAAAATAATTAGCATTTTAATAATTCTAAATATTGGCTTTAAGAGAAAATTTATTACTAATAAATATTTGAACAGGAATTTTAATATGTATGTTTTAAGGTGTGTTGTGCATTAAGATCAAAATATCTTTGTAGAAAGATCTACTTGTGGAATTGAGGGTTTCACAATTTGTATCGATCTGATGTTACCAAATCTGCATCATACAACTATGTGTTAACCTACCACCAAAATAAAAATAAATAATGATGCACATAAAAAAATGTACAAATTGCCTAAGTATTTTGGATTTTTTTTTCCATAGTTTACTCTAATAATGCTCTATTAAAAGAATATTGAATTTTTTTAATTAAAATTTATAAATGCTATATTCCTTTCTATACTTAAATTATCCTTTTTATATCAACTTAAATTATCTTAGTACTCTACCTTTTACATTCAATCCGAACATCTTCCATCAATTTCCTCACATCTTTATCTTGCATATGAAGAACTTCTTCCTCACTTACCTAAATCAATGGTGAAAATGGATTATGATTTAATAAGTGAAGGAATTAATGAAATAAACGTGAGAACTATTAGTGTGCATGAATGAAAGTATATATATATATATATATATATATATATGAAGAAAAAAGAAAAGAAGAGAACCTGACCATTTATGCACCATTTTGTAATTAAGTGATAAAGTTAATATTGGAATTCATATTAAACTCAATATATACCTACCAAATTGTGAATTTCCAAAACATTTGTGGGTGTTTCTAATAAAGGAAGTGCTTCTTCTGGAATATCATAAAATGGTGGATTTTTAGAAAACACCTGAAATCATGTGCAAGATTACAACAATTAATCATTGTTACAAATTGTTTTACAACTAACAACAAATTATACCAAATAACAAATAAATCAATCAAACAATCAATCAAATCAGATCAAATTAGTGTTATGAAACAAAAAGATGCTTATGAAGAGGTAGAAAATTTTAATAAAAATTTGACTTGATAATTCTAAAGGATTAATTCGAAATTCTTGAGGTAGTATTTAATGTTTCAATATATATATATATAAAGAGAGAGAGAGAGAGAGAGAATTAGAATGTGTAAACCTCATATTTAGCATCTGGTGTGGCCTGAAGGACAGTTAAAACTTGTCCTCCTAAGTTCATCCCATTCAAACCTTTGCAAGCTTGATGTGTCACTGTTGGATCTAAATACTACATCCCCATTGCAAAATATCATACATTAATGTAATTCCTATTATATTGTAATTGCCTATTCTCTTTTAAATATATATATATATATATATATATTTAAAGTGTGTATTTTTATTAAAGTAAACTCATAGATGACATTTTATTGTAAAAAAATGAAATTCAAAGAAGATGAATGATTATAAGTTATGACCATCCTAAGATCTTGTCATAACTTATAATCATTATCAAATGCCCTATTTTGAAACTAATAATAACCCAAAATATAAAAATTACCTCAAAAAAGGCTATAGAGCAACCACCATTGTTGTGATGCATGGTCTTCCAATGAAAGGACTTTAATTGCCCAAAGGCTGTGATGATTTCTTTAACCTGGTGTAGATATGAATGAAGTATGTGAGTTTCAATCATGTATTTAGGAACACAAGTTTCATATTTTAATATTGATATTAATATTTTGTTTGAAAAGCCTTTGAATACAGTATCTATTATGTATGTTTGTGTTATAGAATGTAGTAATGAAATAATCTCGTAATGTGTGTGTGAATATATATATGCAAAAAAAAAAAAAAAAAAAAAAAAAAAAAAATCTTTCTATTGCTTGGTGGAAATAAAATTGTGATATAGGTTTACTAACCTTATCTGGTGTTAATAAAGAAGATATTCCGCCTACAAATACCTGCAAATTTGAATGAATTTCAGATTTTGGAAATTGAACTTTTGAAACACATAACCATTTATATGGAATGCTAAATCCTATTGTTGTTATTTTAAAGTAGTTTCTTTAGCTACAAATAATGTAACACGTATGCAGATTTATTTCTCAAAAGGAAGGAATAAATAGAAATAAAATATTAATGAGTTAGTTACCTTGTGAGGAGAGTCTAAGACAACATCTCCTACTAGATTGATGACTGGTTGTGCAATAGGACAACCTCCATGCTACAAAAATAAAAATAAAAATAAAAAAGTTGCATTTTAAAATGGGTGTAAACAGGTTGTCATCTAAGTTGATGCTTATAAATTAACACATAAATTTATTTTAATGTTTTATTCTCCTATATATATATATATATATATAACCATATATTTGTAAATATCATGATATTTTCATGAACAAGTTGATTAGTAAACCAAAAAGAAAGCCATGCAAGTAATTGATTGTGATACCTCAGGTGCAATGAAATCTTTAGGGCGACGGATTTTTAGAATGGTGCCATGGAGGGTAACGCCATCAAAACCAAGAGCAGTTGTGGCATCCTCCGGGGTTATGAACTCTGCAAATGCATATGCCTTCTCTATATTCACCTATGAAATGCAAAATGCAAAATAAAATAAAAATTTGGACACAAATTTTAAAATCCCTTGTACAATAAGTAATTAAATATCACTGAAAATAACGTATAAAATGAGGGTCTAAAACCCTGGTTTTATCGAAACAATAAGAAAGGGAATGAACGATGGAATTCAAAAGGGGGAAGGGGAGCCCCGTACGATGCAGTTGATGCAGGGCTTGGTGCCGGGGATGTGGTGGGCGTTGGCGGACAGCATGGCCGCGTTCATGAACTCCATCAGCTCGCCGTCTGACACCGTCGACGGCACATTCCCCACGTACAGCCGCCGTATCGACCGCGTCGCTTGCGTCAGCGTCACCGTCGACAGCCCCCCTCCACCGCTGCCGCCGCCGCTGCCGCTGACGCCGTTCACCTGCTGCTGCACCTGCTGTTGCTGCTGCAGCAGAAGCGAGGGCAGCATCGCCGACAGATGCGACTGCGACGCCGCTGCTGCTGCTGCAGCCACAGCAGCCGCAGCGTTTAGTTTGTGAGGCGCGGTCATGACGCTCATCGGCACCAGCGGAGCCATTGACACCTGCTGCTGCTGTTGTTGCTGCGCTGTGTGTGCTGCAGCCAGGGCCGCCACCACTTTGCTATCAATCCCCGCGGGCACCATGTCCCACGCCCTAGTTTTGAGACGGATCGGCGACCGAGGCGGTGGAGACGGCGTCTTCACAGCAGCTTCTGACCTCCGCCGACGAGGAGAATACCCTCCCAAGCCACTTGATCCGCCGAACCGACGATTGAAGCGGCCATCGCAATGACCCTGAGTGGGAGAATTCTCCAAATCGCTGCCGTCGATGTTTCGATGAAGTTTTTTCCCGTCCTCGTGAGACGGTGGCGACGACGACTTCTTCAGCCGTTTACGTGGACCATGCGGTTTCTCCCTATGCGCACTGGGAGAAGATCGCTGCGATGTGCTCTCATGGTCGTCTCTGCTTTTCCCTCCATAGGAGCGTCTCTTCGCGCCGTATCCATACCGGTCCCGCTTCCTTGCATCTCTCGCGTCAATACCGTGTCTTCGATGCACGAAGTTGTGTCCATCTTCAGCAAACTTCGCCCTCTTCGGAAATATATGGGAGTGGTGATCATTCCTAACAAATACTTGCGATTCGCTTCTCGGATAACGGGATGAAATACAGCGATCATTGAATCTTTTCTCTCTGCCTCTAAATCCCTCAACTCTTCCTCTCACGTACCTGCTACTGGTAGTAGTGGTAGCAGCAGCATTATTTATTCTACTGAAGTGTCTATCCTCACATTCATTCTTCCTCGAATTGGAATCAACGTGACAACTATGCTCCTGATGAAAACCTTTTCTCTTCACATCTTTCGGACTGGTCCTATCCATTTGCTCGCATCGAACAGTCTCCGAGTCCGTCACATTACTGTCATCCAAACCGCTGCTCACTTTCTGTGCCTTGGTATTCCCACCGCCTCCACGGTTGTTGTCGAGCCTTGTTCCGTCACCGAGTTCAGAAGTTTGATCTTTCAAAACAGTCTTCGTCTTCGGCATACTGTCTCTTCTACTCGGAGACTCACGTTCGTCAGCTATTATCAAATCCACGACACCATTCTGTGTAGGACAAGAACAGTTTTGAATTAAATTAATCTCTTTTTGCGCCATCTCTTCAATAGCGTCGATATCACGGAGCCTTTCTTTGTTGCGTAGAAAGCCATTGCAGGAATCTCCGGATCTGTGCTTTGATTCCTCGTCGCTGATATCGTTTGCTGTGCCGTCATTCAAGTCAAGAGCATCGGTGCTCTTGCAGCAAATGTCTCCGAGTTCATCTGTTAATTGTGCACAGCTCTGTGAAATGCTAGACGTATACACACTTTCATTATCTTGTGCAATTGAATGCAAAAGCTCAGGTTTAATAACCATGCTTTGAGGTACTCAAAAATTCATAGCAGTGACTCAATCCATCGAATATTTTGTGTACTCTATTGTATACATTATATGGGTATATCAGAAACCATTAGAATGTTGCGACAATTTAGCATTTGCTTTCAGTAATGATTTTTTTAATTGAAAGTTATCCCATTGCAAAACTTATATATATATTTATTTATATATATAGAGAGAGAGATAATATATTCACGCATACAAACAAAGACCCAAAATAAAAAAAAAAATGCCGCTATGTAAAGGACATTGATTTACTTGTTGCAAAATGTAATACACCATTGTGTGGAGTCCAATTCATATCAGGATCTGTTGAGATAGCAGGAATGGATTCAGATAATTGCTTTGTGGGGTTTACAATTAATGTTGTAAGAACTTCACTGATCTTCATACTTGGAATTTTTATGCTTGGGTCATAAGAAACATGACGTTCTGAATAAACTTGCGGTATATCTTGAAACTTCCCATTCTCTGCAGAAGAAAAGGAACACAAACAAACAAATAAATAAATAAATGTTATTGTGTTCAAACCTAAATAGATAAATTATATAAATATATATATCCACACACACACACAACTCTGTTGTGCCAAAACCTAAGTTACAGACCTTTCACATTGTAGTTGATAAAACTAATGATTGGTAGAGTGCAATAAATAAATATAAGTTGAAATATGTTTGTTTTTATAATGCAAAGATTTAACCTAAATGATGTAAAGATACTTGTAATTACCATCCTCAAGAGCTCCTCCTATATCATTACAACCACTCTTCTTATATTGTTTTGTGTATGAACAAGGGCTCTTGTAAAGTTGTTCATACTTGTCAAAGAAGCATTCATCTATGTTCACTAAATCATGCTCCACAATATTATTCATCTCTTGCCCTTTATTTGAAGCCTTGCTTTTGAGTAGGTTGTATATTTTAAGGTTTGAGCAATTGTATTTGTTAAAATACACGTCCTCATTTGATGTTTCTTTAATGGGATTGATCATATTATAATTTTTGTATATGTTTGCATCAAAATCCAATTGACTTTCATGGTTATAGTTGTTTTCAAAATCATCATCTTGAATATCATTTATTGATCGGATCTTTTTTAATGCATTTTCTTTCAATTTGTCAAGAGTCGCACTAACCTCTTTCAAGTCCATGAAATTTGTGAGATTGGACGTCACACTTGTCATAATTCAATAACAACGTGTTGCATATAGGATATTTTAAAACCTACATTTGATCAACATAATTTAATGAAATAAGTATATAAACAAAAAATCAAAACAATACTTTAGTTCAAACATTTCTATTGCATATTTCTAAAACATAAATGTTATGCAAACATTATCTCATTATGTAATTTGATGTTTTCAAATAAAATCAATTACATCAAATTTGTAAAAATATATATTATATAATATAAAGTTATAAATGACAATGACTAATGGAATCACTAACAATAATGGAAAACTAAAACACCTTATACACTGAATTTTGATATTTTAATATTGGCAGAACAGTATTTTGCTTGATCACTTCAAAAAACTATACTGTTTGAAACTCTGCATTTATTTTCAAGAGTATTAAGTGTTGTTTTATAAAATGTGAATTGAATATAAATAAATAATTAATTAATTAATTAAAAAGGAAATAATAAACCTACCTCAAATTTCACATGACAGATTTAGAAAACCTAAATTTAATCGAAGTTGAATTTGATCTTAAACTCTCAATCCTTGGATATAAAAACAGAAAACAGAATGAATACAAGAGTTGATATCAAAATTAATCTGAATGAGGTCATTAAAGTTTTGGAAAACATGGATTGAAAAAACTTCACAAAAAATATTCTAAGTAAATAAATCAATAAATAAAAACAGAGCTCAGACTCTCAAAGAAGCTTCCCAATAAATGATGCACCTTCAATGCTTCTTTGCCAAGAACAGGACTACCCACGTCCAAGCTCACGCATTCATCCATAAAGGACTTTGCTTCCTCATCCAAAACTATACATTCATCCATGAAGAGTTCTGCCTCCATTTGAAATTGTGAAACAGTGTGTTTTGGCATTCTAAAACAACTTTCGTCATAATCATTATGCATTCACATGAAGATTGATTCAAGAAGCCCTTATGCCTCATTCTATATACTTAAAAATAAAAACCAAAAAAACGCATTCTTGAAATTACTACAGCTGAAAAATAATCCACAAACAGTATAAAATTCATTGAGACTCGGATACCCTGATTTTGTTTTCAAAACGTGATTCCAAGTTCGGCTTCTTAGGTCTCACATTAGTCTAGGACGCAGATTCTTCTCAAACGTTTCCAACAATATCGAGAAACATGTAACTGTCTTTCAAATACCAACAAGTCGCAGTTAAAAAAGAGGTCCACAGGTCCATTTTGCAAACGAAGACAATTAGGTACTCATCACACGCACATAAAAGTTATTTACACTCATCAAAGATATGACCCTAAATTAACATGATGTCAAAACAATGACAAACGTGCCTATTCGGTTCTTTCTATGTACGAGACTACCCATTTCGCATCCGTTAAGAGATTAAAGTAGGCGTTGCAGGCGTGGAAGATCAAACCCAGCTCTGTCTTGATCCTATTCAGTATGAACAGGCTTTGTATGCTCGGGGAAACTACTCAATGCTGTATCCATTGATTTGCTACATTACAGCATTTATATTGCCCACGAAGCAGCTGCACTGAAGAGGGCGACGTTCTTCAAGAGCAAGATGAGAAACTCTCTGTAGTTTCCAATCTTAATATGAAATTGGTAACCATTCCTGTACTTGCTACAATCCTAATCCAACTGTCCGGCCGTCTCGTCTTCGGAGCCCCTGAGTGAATTGCTTCTCCAAATCCTCTTGAAGCTCCCTCTGCTTTTCTTCAGTGAATATACCTGTATTGGGAGGTGGAGGTGGAGCCTCACCTTCCTTAATATCGCCTTTGACACCCTGCAACCCAACAATATGAGAAGGATATCTCCATATAGCAATCTCTCAACATCATAATAAAAACCACTTCTATTCACAAGCCACTCGATAACTGTGTTGATAATCACGCAAAAAAGAATAGTGGACACTCACACGAATAATCTGAAACAAAAATGTCATAATACTTCATCAACAAAGGCGCAACCTGTTATGAGCTTACCATGAGTTTGTGAAACTTCTCCATGCGATCCCTGTCGGAGAAATGAACAGTATCCCAGCGATTTGTTCCCGCTGCTGCTACGACCGGCTCCTGTATGTCAATGTGCTAAATTCTCAGCCAGGCTTCCAAAAGGAAGGGAAAACAGTGCACCTTGCGTTAGCAAAATGACAATTGTTATTCAGCGAATCATGTAGACAGTAAGGTAATCAAGCAGGAGCACAAAAGGCCTGAAAGGTATCCGACAACAGAATTTTCCCTCTGACGACCACCACATCTTCGGTAACTACCAGATCAACATTCAAATAGCTTTACCTGCTCCACCTGAGCCTTCTTGCTACCCCAAAGAAGCTTTTTCTTGTGATCGGCAGACATAAATCCTGCTAAGCTCAAGTTCTTGTTCACTAAAAACCCACCATAGATCAACACAAAATCAGTGATTTCCTAAAAGGTTCTCTCTTCCCACCCACATCAAACACCACTACACGCCCTTGAAAAGCTTGACGTGGGTTAAACATTAGTATTACACGCAACTAGTAAACAGTTTAAAATGTTGTGAAGCAATAGTCTCACAACCAAATTAGTCACTCACCAAGTTCGGCTGCTCTGACAGCAGCAATTTTGGCAGCCTGAAAATCATTGGCAACTTCTGTAGACATAGCATCCTCTGAAGAAGGTGCAGGCCCCCACTTGGAGCTCTTCCCAGGCTTCACAACAGGAGCAGCTACTGACTTGTTACCTTGCGCCTCACCACCATTTGATCCATCATCATAAACCTCTGACTGCTGAGCATGAGCACCGTCGTCTACTCCCATCTTATTCGACTGCTGGGGTTGTAAACCACCACATGCATTTCTATCGCTCCCCGCTTGAAATTGACGCTCAATACCTGAAATTGCAGACATATATCTATTTAAAACAAGTAATCAAATGTAATCTCAAAGTTCGCGAAGTAGGCGACTTCAAACCTAAGATAGTATTCGTGCCATGTCTTTGCATTGGACTACTAGAAACCCCCAACATAGAATGTAGATTATTCATAACGTTTCCATCTAAGGCAGATCAAAACAACCATAATCGAATCCGTTATTACACCAGATATCAAGTCCTCAACTCTCAGAAAATGTCGCACTAAGCTCGTGGCAGCACACACCTGGTACAGAAGCACCAGAACTGACAGCTGCACCCGACGGGGCCCTGTCAAATCCACTTGTTTTCCTTGAACGGGATCTAGAACGAGACCTAGAACGAGAAACATCCCGTGAGCGCCCCCGAGAGGACGATCGAGATCGATAGCGGTGCCTCCTGTCCCGATCGCCTCCATACTCGCGACCACGTCTGCAATAATTGCCAGCTCCGATATCAGATATGTGGCATATTACTTATAGCTGCTGAGGTTAGATAGAAAAACTAGATCATGAAATAGGTAGTATGACTTACAGTCACACTATAGAGGACCAAAGGGTTCAGCAAAAGTCTCCCGAGGCACTCACCTGTCTCTGTCATGGCCGCGATGACGTTCGGAGTCGATGTCCCTGCCTCTATCCCTGGTTCCTCTGTCTCTTTCGCGATCCACATCCACATCACGGTGGCGTCGACCTTTACCCCTGTCTCGACCCCTATCCTGGTTCCTTTCTCTTTCCCTATCAGATTCTCGAGAGGTGCGCTGCAAAACAAAGAAAACCACAACATGATGCATGCTAAGTACAAAGAGTATATTGCTTCATTCCACGGCGGATATGGTTCCGCAAAAGAGGGACAATAACTTGGATTACTAAACCTAGTACAAGCCATCTGCAATATCTCACACGTTCTAGTAGTATTCTGCCATGGAAGAAAATATTGATAAGCATCTCAGCTCAATCACGCTCTCGTATGAAGGTCTGTTGAATCAACAAAAAGAGCTTCATGAAAATAACTGTTCAAACTGGCATACTAATTTATTTATTTTTTTAATTATAATTGGATTGGATATGTCGTCACGTATGAAAATTTAGGCGATAGAACTATCTGAACGATGATTATAATAATCGTTGAAGATAGTACACATCGTCGTAAATCTATCCTCAAAAATATGCCCCTGAATCGAAAAGGTTCCGTTGTTAAGAACACGAAGTAGACATCAATGAAGTGCAATAAGGCCTCCACAGTGCACGACATTGTTGCTTCGAACATGCTTGTCAACGAGCTGGTGCAAATAGAAAAGACGTGCGTTTCGGAGATACAGGCGTAAGATACTAACTAAAAGGGAACTAATAAATAGGGCAGCATTCGCTAAAGATGCAACACGAAACAATTGCCTCTATCCAGGACACCTGGTCACCCGCATCCACAACCAAAGAATTTCCATTGATCGCACTCGATCAGCTGCTCAACATGCCAATCGTGTACTCAAACACCGCTCATATACTCTGTTGCAGAGAAAAAAAGAGGAAAATGGAGAATGAAAAACAAAAAATAGTAAATAAAGTAACCATCGTGCAGAGAATTCAAAAGAATCAATGCAAATTTCATCAAAATTTGCCGTCAACGGCCTCATACGGCCTCAAATATGCCACAACAGAAATGTACAGCGTCATGAGCACGGATCACAGAGCCGCAGTATCAGCTCTCGCTAAGTGCAGCCACGCTCCTAAAAATCTAGCCACTAGAACATCACCAATTGCATTTCCATCACATGCGCTTCACAATCGACGTCGTACCACCTAACGAGGCAACCGACATAAAAGCGCAACCAAACCACACACCATACCTCGCGCCTCCTCTCGCCGTTCAGGCGCTCCATGGAGCCGATATCCCCGTTGTGCGACCGCGGCGGAGGCGAGTGGCCATACTCACGCCTTTGGTCGTCTGCCATTCGTGCACGACTAAAACCCCACGCCCTCCCGCAAACACCAACGCAACCCCCGCTTCCGCGTCTATCCTGGTTCCCGGCGTCTGCTACATCCAACGTCAACCCCTCCTCTCAATGCAACGAGAAAATATTCAGGCGGAGAATGGCAGAGAATCGTGAGTGGCAAACACAGTGGCTATGGTGGAACCCTAACGCAGGAAACAAAGAGCACCTCGGCTTGGTAGTCGCCCGAACGGTGACAGTAAAACAATTGCAAGCCGTGACTCGGCAACGTTTCAATCCGTGCTTAGGACCAGCTTGGATGTCATTGCCACAGTGCCCGTGTGCGTACTCTCTCTCACTTTGCGAAGGGAAGGGAAGAGAATGGAGGCAGTGTGAAGGGAAAGGGAAGGGGAAGGGAGCGAGAGGGTCGAGCAGTCACGTTTCTAGTTTCATGCGGACCTTCGACACTCGTGTCTCCCTCACACGGCTCCCTGCCCCTCCCCCCGTGCGGTGTGAACGGGGCCCCTCCATTCCGAGCCTGCTCCTTTTCTAATCCTAGCCTCCCTCCCAACCCTGCTCCTTTTCTAATCCTAACCTCCCTCCGAACCTACCCTCCTCTCACTTTGTTTTGCTTTGGTGAGGCCCGACTCTAGTCAATTACTGTGGGTGGGTAGGTGGAATGAAATAGTATGGCATGATTCAAACTATTTTTATTATTATTGATGCTTGTGGATGTGAACATCATCTCGATCAGATGATTGTGTGATCTACTCAATACTTGTTGAGTTGATCACTGCAAGAGGCTATGTTTGGAGGGAACAAAGTGAATAATAAATTCTTCTTTAATTTGTTAAAAAACTATGTGTAAAGTGTGATAACAAGTATTTGAATGAAAATTTACATTGATGTAATGTAACAATAAATATATGTAATTTCATAAAAAAAAATTTAAAAATGGATTTTGTTTCATAAGATGAAGTATTAAAATATTATATGTATATATATATTTTTTATTTTCATTAAATCTATTAGAGGAACCACTAGGTGGACACCTCTCTTTTACTACATGAATATCCTCCATGCCATGCACCTCCAAATACACAATAAAGTTTTTATTTACACTAAAAAGTTTTGGAGTAAATTTATTGCAAAATGTTTGTGTGCAATGCCTTAGGGCAATTTTATTTTTGATTATATTTTTAAAAATTATAACATATTCCATGCAATTCTTTCAATTACTATTAAAATCTTATTAAATCCATTTAAATAATCTTTTGATGTAAATAAGAGTTTTATTGTATATATGCAGGGATACATAGCACAAAAGATGTTTACAAGTAAAAAAGAGGTATCTTTTTAGAAATTATATAATATATATATTCAAAAATAATAATAAATATAATTAAAATATTTTTATTTTTTTATATACCAAACTTTAAAGCATATCTAAATAAAATAAAATAAAAACATAACTTATTTAAAAATATTCCATTAAAATAATAATAATTTTTAAAAATAATAAATTAAAATATAAAAATTTAATATAGAATTTTATTCATAAAAATATTAGAATAGATTTTAAATTTAATTTTATAATAAAAATCAATATTAAATTTTAATTTTTTATAATCCTATAATAAAAATAGAATCCAAAAATACATATATATATATATATATATATATATATATATATATATATATAAAGAAATTACTTATAAAAAATTACATAAATTATATTAAAATTAAAATAATTAATATTACATTTTTTAATATCTCATAACTTATAAAAAATTAAATATGATATTTTTTCTATATATTTTGGATAGTTTTATTTTAAAAAAATTTAAAACTAAATTTTATCTTTTGTAGGTGGATTGAAACCATTTAGATTATTAAATTTAATAAAATTAAAAATAATTATTGTATCAAATAAATAAATAAATAAATAAATAAAACAATCAAAATATCAATACACTCTTCTATTACTTAAAAAAAATACATGTTCACTTGAAGATAGTATAATATTAAAGCTAGAATGACTATTGCCAAAGACTAGAAGACTAGAGACTCTTGAAACAAGACTAAACGAGAAAGATGTTAACAAGAGTGAAGACAACCTCATTGTAGCCTCTCTCTCTCTCTCTCTCTCTATATATATATATATATATATATATATATATGTATATTATCTAACTAGGAACTACATGGCAATGTTTTATATGACTTCTAACATGTGTCTAACTTGCAAAACAAGTTTCACACATATCTGCCACATGGCCAACTTATACCACCAATATGTGCAAGACATAACCAACTTGATGGCAAAATTTTCAACCTACTAAATACTTATCAATACATATAAAGTCAAATTTGCATCTATGAAGCTTTGTGAAAAGCTCATCCTCAAGATATTATCAAATTTACTTCTACTTACTTTTTATATTATTTCTTTAATTTAGATAAATACATATATCAATGACATATATATATATACATTGTTAAATAAAAATACATATTTTAAAATTTTATTAACAAATATTGTATATTCTTATAAAAAAAACATTCAATAAAAATATTGTGGTTTTTTAATACTTAATTATTTATAAATTATTATAATTATTGATTGTATTTTAGGAGATTTCAAAAAATAATATAAAAAATCATATTATTATAAATTTATTTGATTATATTTTATGAGATTTTATAATATAATATAATATAATAATATAAATAATAATAGTTAAAATAATAATATTAATATTTTAACTTTTATTTACAAAATTATATTTATATTTAAATATTTGATGATATTAATTAATAATTTAGCTTCCAAAACTAATAAAATTATCATATAATTATGTGACATATTTAGGTTCTTATGAGGTCTAATTAAATGAGTATTTCTAAATAAATTGAATTCTTAGTGGCGGATTAATTAGTATTATGTTTTTACCACAAATTCTGTTGTATTTAATCAAAGACTTGTGCTTAAAGAGTCCAAATCTAAAATTCATTTCAATTGGTAAATTCTCTTACATCTTTGTTAGTTAGAAGTGAGCTATTACATTGGCATAATAAGTTCTTAAATCAATAATATGATATTCTATGGTTCATTTATATGTTTTATAATTTAATCATTTGAAGTATATAAATAAATATATATATATATATATATATATATATATAATTTCTGAATAAAATAAAACTATGAAATATATAATTAATAAATATTTCAAAAATAGTGAAATATTTTTTTTATTCTAATATTTTCTAATTGAATTAATCTTAAAAATTCTACAAAACTTAAAAATTCTAAAACCCACTAATTAATATGACGGTTTTATATATGCAAATTCTTTGATCCTAAAAAATTTGTAGTTAAGATTATAAAGTTTGAAAGAATATAACATAATTAAATTAATTAGATTGTTATACATATCATAAAATTTGCATGTGATTAAATGATTTTGATATTTTATTGGCTTCACAATATAATATAATATAATATATTTGTTAAAATATTAATCTATAATATTTAGTTCCTGTATTTAGTCTTTTTTGTAGATTCTACTTAAGAATTTAAATAGTCAATAATACATATAATGTTTTTCTTTCAAAATACATTGATAATACATATTTTTTGAAATAATATATTATACAGGTGTAACATCAATTCTTAAATCTAAGCGTGTATCAACAATATTTTAATAAACTCAAATATTTTTAAAATGTCTATTGAAAAATCTAGATTATTTAATTGAATAAAGTTGTAGTCACGTATATTAAATCTTTAAGAAGTTGTGAGCTTTTATTAAGATCTATTTGTAACATATAAAAAACAAAATTGTGATTATAGTCATAAGTTGACAAAAAAATTCTAACAACATGTTTAATATTTGAAATTAAGTTTTAATGTATGTATATATATATATGTATATATATATATATATATATATATATATATACACACATATATAATCTCAATTCAAATTATATTTCTATAGATAAGAAGTGATTAATTAAGTAAAAAATTTTAAAATCATAAAAGTTTACTTTCAAAATAAGTTTAATTTATCTAACAAAAATATTTAATAAAACTAGAATATTAATTAATAGTTTTTAAGAATAAAAAATAGTGTTGTATATTAAATTGTAAACATCGAATCTAATAATAAAATATTTATAGCAAATTTATTTATAAAATTAAACCAAATCATTCAATGTATTAAAATTACCTTAGTATCATTATAGTGAATTTTAGAAACATTTATATTTTTGAATCTAATGTTCTTAAAAAAATTATTAAATTGCCAAAAGAAGACTGAAAGTAATTAACACTCACATACAATTAATAAATTGTTAAGATCAATTTCAATAACTTTGATATTATATGAGAACCATTTGAAGCAACCAAAGTTTTTTTATTTGATTACAATTAATATAAACATCATAAATATTTGCTATTAAAATTTATTTTGTTTATTAATTTATGTGCTAATCATAAATATTGTTAAAGATTATTTCTTTCTTTCAAAAAAAGAAGTTAAAATAAAAAAAATAAACACATTAATCTCTTGAAATAAATTATGCAAAAGTCCATTTTGAAGACTATATTTAATATGTGCCTTTAATATATGACAAAACATTGTATTCCAACCAAAACTACTCAACCAACTATGAATAAAGATCTTTCATTCATCTTATGTACTTCCAACTAATGACTAAGAAACAAAAATTATAATAACTTTTACCCTTTTCTCTAACTATAAGTAGTCAAGGAGTTGGATTTTTTTGTATTTTTTATTTTTTATTTAAATATTACCCACAAAATCAAAGAATAAAAACCACCTAAGTACAATCTCATTGATTAGCAAATTGAGACTCTAAAGATGTCTACAACATACAACCAACCATGTTTAATTCAAAGTATTGAGGACATTTCATGAACTAAAGTCTCTATTCTTGAGTACAAAAGGTCCGATCATTGTCCAACCTGCATAAGAAAAACACATGTGCTTTATCATTAAAAATAAATTTATTACAAATTTCAAAAAAATACAATAATAAAAGTTATAAAACATATATTGAGATTGTAATCAATTAAACTACAAATACTTAACTTAACATACCCACATCAAAATGCAATAATCAAAATAAATATAACTTATTAAAACACTTGGTATATTAACAACCAACTTTAAAATCACTTCATGTTCAAAATAAACATCAAATTCTTACTTAATTTGAAAGTTTATTAACAAAAAAAACTAAAGTATATAAAAACAAGTTAACTTACCATATATTATAGCAGCAAGCCATTGATTGACAATTTTTACCCATACACTAGCCCAACCAATATCAATACTCCATCTGCAATGCCAAACCATTTCTAAGTATCAAATAATAGACTAAAATAGATTGATTAAGGAAATTGAGGTATAGATTTATAAACATTATATACTAGTGTAATTTTACACTAAAAAAATCAATGATGTTAAATTGTAAAAAAAAAAAAAAATTGAAACGTTATGAATATATTTAAAATTTATCTATGATATATAGAATAAATTAGAATAAGCACAAAAGCAAATACTAAGTAAAAAATGTCCATACTTGTGCATGGTTTGGTGTAGATTCCAACCCACAAATAACATAGCAAGGTACATTGCACCCAATGCAAAAACAAAGTGGAAGAATCCATAACTATAAGGCAAACTTCCATCATCTTTTGATTCATCTTTTTTCTTGAACTGCATGTGCACATAAAAACATTAAGTTTCAAATTGCAACATTTGTAATAATAAGACACTAATCAATATTTCAATAAGTGCAATATACTAATAAATAAAAATAAGTAAATTAGATAAGAAAATCCTATATTAAAAGCATGTTGCTGAAATGATACAATGACTAAGAAAATATCACCAAATAGGTTTAAGGGGTACCGAGAAAGCCTCAGAATCAATGCCAGTGGTATATGTGGCAAACACTATGGCTAAAAATGCAATCAAAAAACTCTGCACCAAAGTTTCAAATATATTATTTTAACATATATATTTTTTCAATATTACTACCTAACTAAGTATGGACATTGTGTCTTAATTTAACTAAATTAAAAATTTATAATTATATAACTTACCCTAGTATTCATAAAATAAAGATACAAATATGACTAAAAATCCCCTCTAAAGTGTATAAATTCTCAATCAATTAAAAAATTATATTTATAAATATAAACACTTAAGTACAATCACTTACAATAATAGTAAGCCAATCAGCCTTGCCAGTTTGACGTTCTCTTGTATTACAAGATGCAGACAAGGGCTCACTGCAATTCCACAAGTATAAGTACTCAAGATTTACAAACATTATATCTTTAAATACTAGATATTTTCTTTCATAAGAAAGAAAAATAAATAAATAAAAATTAAAACTATTTATATGTTTATCTAAAAAATTCACATTTTCAAATGAAGGACAAAAATATATCATTCTAGAGCATTTTTTCATACTAAATTACTTCAAAAACCTCTATGTTTTAGTTATATGTTCTAATTACATAAACTAAACTACTTTAATTTATTTCAAATAAGTATAAAATCAATACTTTACCTCATAATAGCAGACCAACAAAGAAATATAAGGTAGAGGGACATAACACCTGAAGTTAATAAACCTGCATTAACCTACAAGCAATAGCATAACAAAGTCAATATCTAATCATTTAAAAGGCTTATGGCACTACAAACATACAATCTTATACTAACTTTAACATATACAACTCTCTAAAGAGGTTAAATAATAAAGCTAATAAAAAGGTATAAGAAGAAATACTTACCTTGGCATGCAATGAAATAATTGTCATTACAATAACCAAAATCATGGTCCAAGTAATGAAGAAAATATTTAGTCTACATGTGACGTGTGGAGTGAACCACACGTACATCAATACTAATCCAATAAAAGTTAAAATATAGCAAGTCATTGGGACCACCACCAATGGAATATAACTGCACATGATATTTTCAAAGTATTAAAATGCTTGTAAATTCACTTACATAAATTGTCAATAATGAGCACACAAAAATTTAAGAATATTAGAAAAATATATCAAATGATTAAATTGACAAGACAACAAAATGCAATTTTTTTAATAATAAAATAAAATAACATAATAGATATTAATGTAGTTAAAATAATTCCTATTCTTATGTCAATATGTAATCCTCTAAGACAATAGAATCATTAATAAGGCATTTCCTTTCTCATTCCTATGCATTAAAATATAATCTATATACCCATGGAACAACTACTCTCAAATTATTTTGTATAAAACATTCAAAAAAATTTGTATTAAGTCCAAGCAAAATATAAAGCAACGTACCATTGTCGCTCATGCTCAGGAGACATCCAACTTTCATTCCAAAGATATACAAAATTAATTATACTTAACAATTGGACAAGCAAGAAAATCCTGCAACAAGTGGAAATGAACCTATGATAAGTACATCAGACTGAATCATACACTTGAGACAATAAACACCTATATTGTTGCTTGCAGCATCCTATTAAATTCACACGATCATTCACCATGTGTTTGGCTACTAGCTAATTACACTTAAGATTCAATTACCATAAGGAGAATACGTATCCCATACAGAATCTGATAGCCATGACTATCTGAAATTTGTGGGCTTGTACTGCATGTAAAGTAGTAGTTGCAAAAGACTTACCCCGCGCCAAACCTTGCAATTTCTCCTGCAATATATATACCATCAACGACCATTGGTACAACTTGAAATCAGATAAATCCTTTCCAGTTCCGAGTCAAGGTCTCAAGTGCAAAATCAATTCAAAGAAAATCTCATCTTTTTCAACTATCAGTTATCAACTCCTGAGTCGTAAAGACATTTTAAACCAATTTCACCACAAAAACATACGTTAATACTAACACGCCATTTGCTCTACTTGTTAATGAGAAATCGTTTTAAATGTGTGGTGCAGTAAATAAAATTTTCCATACTTCAATCCCAGACACACTCAAACAAGAACCTCTCTATGAGCACACCTATTCAACATCAGACTCTCGATTTCTGCCACCAAAGGTAGTGGCAATTCCTAGAATAAGGGACAAAAGATGGTCTGACTTGTAACGACCTATGAAGAAAAACTAGATTGGAACATTTATAAAGGTTAATGTTTGACCATATCGATAGAAACAGATGCGTGAATTCACTGACGAAGACTTAATAATTGTACATGTAACCTGCTCTGCAACAAATATCAGTTACTGATCTATTAATGAATTTACAGCTTAAAGATGCACTCTTAATTATGCAATTAACAAATAAGACAAACAGATGTCTTAAACCAATCAACCGTGTAAAAGAGGACCTCACCATATAACTGGATGACGACCGAGGGCAAGAAAAAAGGCACGATTGTGAAAGTGATCCACAAAATGCTCTTCACAGGCCACCATCCAGAATGCCATCTATCTCTGGGATCGTCTTTTCTAGATGTCCCCACTGTTGTCATAAACATCACAAAGAAAAACATCTGTACATCGAGTTAAGGGTCACATTGTTCATTATCCAAAATAGAACATGGAAAACGATCCACTGGATAACAATTGAAAATGGCTACACTACTTCAGGTTTAACTGCATCAGAAGGATACGAAACACCCAAAACTAAGGCGGAGTACAGATTCTGAGCCCAGACAGTTTGCATCGTCTTCGCATCTTTTTAGATCTGCATAAAATCGCAAAACTGTCAACAAATGAAAGGAACAATAACACCAGCAGCGAGAAAAACTGGTAATTCTTTGTCGTGCAGAGGAACAGGGTGGGCGATTTCAAATCCCATAAACTGCCAATGGCAGACAAAAGTGAGAAAAAAATGTCTAACGATGAAGATTAATGAAGAGGACGTATTCGGCACTTTTCTTGAAAAAACCAAACAGTGAGAGAGTCAAGGGATGCATGACTGAAGTAGCATTGAAAACTTGATTAATAAGGCTGCATGGACGTTTAGAACGCAATTCTATTGTCAAGGCTTCACAACCGCATAAAAAGGGGGTTTATGTCAGAGTATGAACTTACGATGAAGATCGGTGAGAGCTCTTTGACTGTAATCACGAGTAGTCCAGGCCAGTATGTTGGTGAGAAGAAACAGAATGCCATAAATGTATCGAGCAATCATTGGATTAGGACCCTGGCATGAAAGGCAAATGCACGACGATGCCGTGCACTCATCCGAAGGCATTGCCGCTAACGCCAAACACCGATTCCACTTTCGGATTAAAAAGAGCTTCTCAGAATGTACCTGCGCAGATTGATTCAAGGAGACCATTTTTTGGTTCATAACCAACTGTTATCCACTGAACAGCATGATGATTCTAGCAGCGTAACAACTTTCTATTGAAGGATTTTCCAACTCCTTCTTTGTCAGCTAGGTACCCTGCCATCTTTGTACTGTAGGTTCTATAGTCAACTAGGTCAAAAGTTTGTTGGCGCTAGTGAAATTTGAACAAGTGAACATCAGTAGCTCATGGTCAACAAGAATAAAACTGAACCACAATCACACGTACGGTCCTGACGCGCCTGTTGCAAAAACCGAGACGTGTATTACCAGATAAAGATTGTACTGCTTTGGCATTGAGAATTAGACATCGAGATGATATTAACGCATAAACGTGGACATCAACCACCTGCACTCCATTCAGACACTCGGTTCATTGTGAATAGCTATCAAACTACAACTGTCTTCGTTTTCGAAAAAACAGATGCCCTGTAGGCAAGAATGTCGCACAACTACTTCGCTAGACCACCAAGAATCTCCATTCTAGTTTCGCACGACTAGAATCTGCTCACAAAATTCATAGAGCATCTGCAGACAATCGCAGATACCATCTAGAAAGCTCGAGGCAGAATTGGAGCAGCATTCAGCAGCAAAATGCACTCCACGTACAATCGTTCTCCAAAAACTTCGAAACAAAATCTACAATTACAAAAAACTCAAAAATTACAGGACCAACGGACACGCGAATCACCTAAGTCACCTACGAAAACGAATAGAACAAGTATCTGGAAACAAATATGAAAATGAAGCAAACCGCACCAAACACGAGCTGGGCGCACGCTCCTCCGATGCCCTTGCAGACGACCGTACCAAACTTCAAACCGCTCCAGGCCATCTCAAAGCAGCAGGGAGGCTCCAACAAGCAACGGCAACAACATCAACAGCAGCAGCAAGCCGAGTAAAGGTCCTAAACTTTCTCACTTTCTTCTTAACCGGCACGTTGCTTTGAGCCGAGAATCGTTCTTCGTTCCTTCCGCACAAACGCGCGCGCTCTCGCGCTGGAAATCGTCGTTACCGCAACGTTGGCTCATTCGCGCCCAGGCACGTCTCCAGCGTCGCCGAAATTCCAGCTAACGACCACTGGATGGTTGACGAGCGTGGGATGGTTCAAAGCTGCCATCCTTCGCGCACCCTTCCTTCCAAGGTGGTGTACATCTCACCGACCTTCGGACGAAGCGTCCGGGCCCGTCCATGATTGGATCTAGTTAGTTACTAGTGAACTTGTTGTTACTAGTAAGTTATGACATTTTGGTCAACCCAGTTGCTCCTGTAGTCGTCCCTTTGGCCTTCCACGTCATCCCTCCTTTTGGGTGTTTTTTAGCTATTTGAAATTCACCATGAAGGTTCCTTTACTCTCCCCCAAAATACTAAACTTTTGTTGCATTTTTTAAATCTCAAACTAGGTATCAATGTGGGATGCCCTACAATGATTGAGGAATTCATTATACTAACTATTTTTTCATTCTACTCTTCACTTCATGTGCAATTGTGTTGTGTTGTATTGATTTTACTTTTATTCTTTAGATAATGTTGTTAACACTCATGTTCTTCCGACAAGTCTTAATATGTATAATTGATTAGTTGTGATATGTGAACTGATTTTTATGAACAAAACTTGCATGCTATTACTATTGTTGTTGTTGTTGTTGTTGTTTTTTTTTTTGTTTTCTTTAACAAATGCTTATTATGAAACCAATGGTGCCACGTAACCATTTTGTTTTAAGTTATTATTTCATAGATGTAAACTTTGTACAACTATATGTTTTAGATTGAAAAAAAAATCATAACTAAACACATTCATGTGAATGTTTTCTATGATGAATTTTTCAGTCTATTAAAAGTTCATGTTAATGTGTATGCATATATTGAATAAAATATGTATTTTAATACTTTTTAGTGTTAAAAGTTATATGTGTATATATATATATATATATATATTTGAATTATTTTATAAATTAAATTCATTTGTTGTTTGAAGATACTAAAAATACATGAATTATTCACATTGGATAAAAATACTAAAATAATGCAACAAATGTTCTAGTAATTTCTATTTATGTTAACAAGGTTTATCTTCCAGAATTTTTTTGATTTAAGGAAATAAATAATATACATTCAAGTTACATTCAACTACTTTTTCCTCACAATTAAATATTTTAAAACTTCAATTACAATATCAAGTAAAAACATGCTATTCAAACTTAAAGATTGTCTTGATGAATATTCATGAATATTAACTAGTATGTTTAATTGTTTAAAAATAAATACAAGAAACTGATATATGTGTGTATGTATATATATATGTATATATATATATATGTGTGTATGTATATATATATGTATATATATATATATATGTGTATATATATATATATGTATGTATGTATTTTAAAGCATTCCAATTTTAAATTCATAGTTTTATGTAGAAATCTCTATAAATGAATATTTAGATAAAAATATACTAATTATATATTTAAATAAATATATGTATATATATGCTCTAATAATTAAATAATAAAATATGTTCATATCTTTCAATTGGTATTTTTAATCTTAGTGACCTAAAATAGTTAAATGCACCATAAAAGTATATTTTTATAATATTATTTGATAAAAAAAATTCCTAAATTCAATTCTACAACTTAAAATTTTCCTTAAAATATGTATTGTAGTGGTGTTACTATATAGCAAAAAGTAAGCTATTATTACAATCTTTTGTGTCGTTGTAGAATATGCAATTGTTCCCAATATTTCAAAAGAGATTTTGTTGCTTTTCAAAGTACTGAATGATTGACAAATTAAATCTCCATTTCAACACAATTTTGCTAAAACCCCATTATACAATGAACACACCGTTATACATTGAATTTCAACATCACTTTTTAAAGCAATGCACTAAAAGATGGTAAATACGACTTAATTATTATCCTAGAAAAAAATTAATCCAAAATTACATTTAATATTTACAAAAACTAATTTAGTATGGCTTCCAAATTGTAAAGGAGAACAATTTTGCTCACAGAAGAAGAATGTTGAGTTTGAAACTTCTTTAGCAAGTATGGAAGTTAGAAACTATTCCACAAGGGTGTTCAAAATTCATTATTATTTTTTGTTCAATAATAATAAAAATATATGGAGCACTACACCATTTGCTTCAAAACCTCAAAAGTCGAATTTGAGCAAATTCAGAGAATTGTGTTTACAGTTTGGACAACATCAATTCCATGGTGAAAGAGAGAAACGCATCCATCCAGTAAGAACTAGAAGACTCCACAGAGAGAGAGAGTCTTCACTGTGCATCTAAGCACATGTAATCGGAAAAAGTAGAGTATCAAAACCAAACAAGTGCAAATTCATGGAGTGAAATTCATAACACAACATGCATCTCACTGAATACACACACACACACCACATGCACATGGACACACAGACACACACGCAGAGAAAGAGAGAAAGAAGAGCTTCACCATTAGATTCGGCATCTCACTGCTCAATGCTTTCACGCTGCTGCTGTGCTTCGTTTCAGCATCTGAGAGTAGCATACTACACTGAGAGTTAGCTACATGCCAGCATATATATATACACACAGACACATACATACAGGGAGGGAGGTGAAGAAGGGGGATTGAGCTCGGAGGTGGACGCAAGCGGCGGCTACCATGGCTTGTGCGGCGGTTCGCAGGGGGTCGTCGCATGGGCATTGTGCGACGCAGCTGTTCTCGGCTCTGTGTCGAGAGCAGGCTGTTGTGAGAGGTGGTGCAGTAGGAGTAAGGAAGCCTGAATTTCGTCGGGGTTTTAGCTCGGATTCGGTGTCGCAGATCAAGGCGTTGCGGGAGAGGACGGGGGCGCCTATCAAGGATGTGAAGGCTGCTTTGGTGCAGTGTGGATGGGATGCTGGTTCGTCTCGTAAACAAGTCTAGTGTTTTTTTTGACGAGTGTTTGGTGTAATTTTGTCTTTTTTGAACTTCAAGCGGAGGGTTAGTTGGATCGATTCGGTTTGATGGAGACTTCGTGTTAGGCTTGCAGAGGCTGCGGTGTTAGAGTTGAGGAAGAAGGGTCTGACAGCTGCGAGCCGGAAATCAAGTCGGTTGGCGGCTGATGGATTACTCGCTGTGGCGAGTGGTGGGGGGGCCACTGCCGTCGTAGAGATTAATTCCGAGACCGACTTCGTCGCACGGAATGAAATGTTTCGCCACTTGGTGAGAAACCCTTTTTATACCTCCCCCCCCCCCTCGATTTGCCTCATAATTTCACTATGAGAAGTGCATCGTATCAGTTGTGACCTTCAATGTTGCGTGATATTTCTCTGCATTCATCTGAAATTCCAGCCTGCCATTGTTGGACGCAATGAATAGGTTGGAAGGGTACTTTTAGATTCTTAAACCCTTTGGTTTTTCATCTGGACTAGCTCGCCTTCTTTTTTCTAGTTCACAAGTTCTTTTTTCGTTCTTCTTTTCGATTTTTCTTGTTTCCTCCCTTAAATCTAACTACGTTGAGTTCTCATTAAACAAGTTATTTTTCACTAGGCTACACGAGTTGCAAGAGCAGCGCTTGGCGTGCAAGCACTGAAATCAGAACCATGGAGTGCAGCCACGTTAGATCTACCTGCATTGGAGGTGAGTATTTCTTCATCTTAACGATTGCGATGTGAATACCTAGTTTGGTTTCGAAATGTGAAGTCACACCTTACGAATTGAGGTTCGGGCCACATCTGCTTGTCTTGTGCCAGGCAGTGAAGATCAAGCTGGAGCATGAGAAATTGAGCGGCGAGGTTAGTGTCAAAGAAGCTGTAACAGAGGTAGCAGCTATTATGGGCGAGAATGTGCGCCTTCGGAGAGGTTTTCTTGTATCGTCCACTACGGGCATTGTGTCTTCCTACTTACACGCATCTGCGGATCCAGGTTTGTGTTAGTCCCTGCAGTACCTATGTATTATTACGATCATTGCCACTTACTATTAGGGTTTAGGTGTTGAGCGTTGGTTGTTATGACCGTTTGTCAAAAGATGCTCCTCTCTGTCACTGATCCACTGTTCGCGCTCTTGTCGATAGGCAAGGCGTTAGGAAACCGGGGGATCATCAGATGGCGATCTGTTTTTCCCTGGATTTGTCTCATTGACCTGTAATGTGGGGGTTGTCACTGATTAGAAGTGATCCCTGGATTTGTCTCATTTTTCCATAGCTTCTAATCAGTGATCTGGCCGCGACATAAATTTTATTATTATTATTATCATAATCAAATCTTTATTGTACGCTTAGGGAGGGTTGGGCTTGTGGAGAGCTTTTTCACGGTCTTTTTCTTAGCTGCATTTGTTATTGTAGCCTTCAGTCCACATTCGACATTGTCAACATATTCTTCTAACTTCCTGATTTGTCTTGTGATAGGGCTTGCAAGAGTTGTGGGACTGCTCACTCTTGAACCAGAGAATGGTACTTTGGAAGGTCAGGTGGCTGAGGCAGAACTTGGTTCAGCTCTAGCCATGCACGTTGTGGCAGCTAAGCCACTCTTTTTATCCAAGGAGCTTGTTCCTGAAAGCTATCTCAATCGAGAGACGGATATTTTCCGGTCTCAGGTATCGCCTTGTTTTCTGTAAATTTACGGTCTCTGTCGAAGCTACACAATTCTATTGTTTTTTACTGTTTTTATTAATTTTAATTCTTTCAATCAGCGCCAGTAAACTTCCCAGCCTTTATCATACTGCAGATCCTTGGTTGTCAAGAATCCTGCAGTCGTTACATTCCTAGCCATCTACTGCATGATGAGTGAACATCTATATTTTTTCCATGGGCTGAATTAGGATGTCTTAGGTTCTTGCTTTCCCTCTGCCAAATTCGTCAGCTGGAGACTAAGTAGGTTGAACGGAAATTTTTCAGGCATTATCATCGGGCAAACCATCCAATGTGGTTGATAAGATGGTGCAGGGCCGGCTTCGAAAGTACTTTGAGGAGACCGCACTGCTGGAACAAAAGTTCGTGGTAAATGACTCGATGAATGTTCAGGCAAGTACAGAAGCTTTTGTTTCATCTACTCTGTAGCTTTAGGTGGATTTGTTTAGTGCTTACCTTCCCCATGATGCTGTGGGTAACCTGTAACCAGCTGAATACTGGAGTTGAGTTTATTGGCGCAGGTTAAACAATGTTGATTTTTTTCTGCTTTTCTTGATTATGGTTTATGAACAATATGCATTTTTAATACTGAATGTGATCATTATGGTATTCAGGCTGTTCTTGATGCCCATCGCAAACTGACTGGAAGGCATGTTAGCATCACCAATTTCTTGAGGATGGAGGTTGGCGAGGGGATGCAACAAAAGTAAGAATCTGTTTGTAATTTTAGTACTATTGCACGCAGTATGGGTTTAGCATCTACGTTTGGCATTGTGGCCTGTCCTAAAGCAAGAGTTGGGTAATTTTCTTCATATATTGCAGCTCATGAGGCAGCTCTCCATGAAAACGTCGTCTTTAATTAACCTGATGATGCATGTGGTTACTTTACAGGGAAGAATGACATGGTGACCTGGATATAACTCAACACACGAATCGAGCTTAGGCTTTCTATTCGAGATTTTTGTGGCAATCCTTTTTGTAGCTTGACACACTGACTTTGATATGCATTAAGGTATATTGTTCATAATTAGTCAAAAGACTGGTGAGTTGATTAGGTGGAGTTCCTCCACCATGTCTGCATCCCTTCGAGGTGATCCTCCAATGCTTCCGTTAAGGTCGGGTACGGCTGTGCCATTCGTTTCATCCATAGCTGCAAATTTGCTGCAGCTTTCCCCTTAATTGATAGGGATGCCTCATACTAAATTTGAAAACTGGTCGCATTCATGACAATTGTTAGTACGGGAAGAGTAATTTTAAGAATTGCGTAACATTCATTTAGATTTGTAATTATAGAATTACATTTCCGATGGTCAGTATTGGAGTTTTGTTATTTTGTTTTAAAAAAACGTTCTGGTGGGGGGGGGGGAGGGGGGGGGTGTTGTATTGTGTGGGCTTATCTTCAAGATACTATTCAAACTGCGTAATTCTTTTACAACTCTGACACTCGTTCTCAAATCTTCTACATTTAACAAAACAATACGAACATTTTCAGCTTCTAGTAACATTGATTCCATATCACTCGAAGTTTTAATTATCATATAATAAGAGCAATAAAAGTTATAATCTAGATCGTTATTTTCTGTTGAAAATTACTTTTCTACAGTTCTAAAACTAATAATACAAGCGGAACTTTTTTACATATTTTATTCCTAAACCTACTATATTTATTAAATATGGTTGCAGAAATTTTGTGCTATCTAGGTGTTCATTTCTGTGTTAAAATCTCCTTAAATATTGAAGAAGCCCCTTCAAATTATTTTGCACAAATTAATGATTTAATTTGATTATCATGTATTATGAATATTTTATTTTCTTTGGCTTTTTTATTTAATCATTGATAGATAAAAGTGATGCTTTCAGAATAAATTTTTGTTTTGTATTTATAAAAGTGTAATTTTCTTAAACTGAAAAGTGAAAAAAAATGTGTATGTAAAAAAGTTTATGTAAATGTAGAATGTTTTATTATAGTTTGAGTTATTGTTTTAAATCATTAGAGATATATTCTTGACTTGAATGAAAATTAAAAATGTATCAACAAATAGCCAAATAATCTTCAAATTTAATAATTCTAAAATAATAAAGTTTATATATAAATAATATAAGTGTAATATATAAATAATATAAGTGTAATACTACCTAGAGTACAAAAATACATCTTATTTAAAAATATGAAATGGAATTATAGATTAGAAAAAATAGTAGTAACTATAAACAATAAGTTAACTTTATTCATTTAGAATAATTGAACTTTTAGTAAGATGTAACTTTTATAACATAATACAAGGAAATTATTTATTTGTTTGAATTTTGGATTTATTTGCAAAAATACCAATTTTTTAAAATGTATACTTAAAAACTACTGTATAAAACTATTTGATCTTTTTATAAATATTATCTTAAAAAATCATAAAATAATATTTATGGCTAAAAATAGAAATCTTCTTAAAAATTCAATAGATCACTATATAAAAATATTCTTCTTCCTCAACTCATATGTTTCACAATAAAATACATCAAAAGTTATGATGTAATATGGCTAGTATTTAAGCAAAAGAATGGTTGACTTTTACACAACTGTGACCATATAAGGTCACAATATTTATGTAGATGTGTTTCAATTTTTGATTTGAGGGAAATAATGCTAATTAGAAATTATTTTTTTAATATTTATTTTTTTTTCAAATTTTAAAATATTAATAGTAATCATGAATCAAATAATAGAATCTATTATTTTTGTATAGATGGTAAATGCTAGTATTATAATATTATTAAAATAAAATTGGATCATAGGATGAAATAATGTTATATCAAGACTTCCGATTCAAGTAGAATTTTATATTTATCCATGAATAAACAAGCCAATAGTAAAAAAAAAGTTTAAAATATAGTAAAGCACTAATTCTAAATTATAAGAAACAAAGTGTTAATATGGCTCTAATTTTGTACATAAGAAATAGAAATTGTATTAAAAATATAGAGAATGTATTAGAATTTAGTGGTATCATTATTAAACATTGCAATACAAATTATTGAAGAAATTTTTATTGTCTTCTAAAGATTTGTTAAAGAACCATGCATCTATAAGATGATTATTAATAGTAATATTTTTATGGCTCTTAATATTTTTTTGTAAGAAAATAAAGATCTTGTCAAAAGAAATGATAAACTCTTAGATTATTTTCAATAAAGAAATTATTATATAAATTATTAATTTTTAAAATTTATAACCAAAATTATTATAATTTTTTTAAAGAGATTATATGTTTTTAAATATTATCTATCTATCTATCTATCTATCTATCTATCTATCTATCTATATATATATATATATATATATATATATATATATATTTTAAAATATATACTTACATGCTATAAGTTTATACATATAGATGTGCCAATTTATGTCTAATTTTTTAAAATTTTACATAAGATAATTTGTAATAAAAAAATTAAAATATCTATTATGAATATTTTTTTATCCATTATGAATTTTTAAAATTTTTATTTAAAAAAATAAATAACATCAAATATAACATAAAAAAATTAATAAAAAAAATCAGAATACAAAAATATTTAAATGATATTTTGATCTTAATTTTAGACAAGAATAAAAAAATAAAATGTTTACTTTGTTTTGATACTAACAAGTTAAAGAATTAGAGGTGTAATTTAATTGCTACAAGATTTAGTTTTATTTAAAAGAATTGTTAGGTATACACCTCACTTGTATTGTATTGGTACTCCCTTGCATTCACACCTCTGCAAAAAGTAACTAGTTTTGATTTAAAATTATGATTCTTTCAATTCTTTTGTCCTTGCAAATCTTTGTCAAAATAGTGTTTTGAATCATAAAGCATAAAAGTTTGTCTTTCGAAAAAAAAAATTCATCAATTCAAATAAAGAATAGAAATTAAATCATTTAAAATCAAAACTAGTTATTTTTTGCTGAGGTGTGTGTGCAAGGGAGTGTCCACCTAACAATTATCTTTTTTTAACATAACATTGTACCAAGAATGATATAAAAGAATGTCATGTCTCTATAATGACAAAACGGCATGACATCTTTTATATCTACCAAAACGACACACACACACCCAATAACATCAACCATGGAAAACCACAAAGCACGTCGTTAGACGAGCAGGAAAAAAGATCCAGGAACTCTCTGACAACACATCCGGATCATCAAAAGAACTCCATGGAAATCAATCTCACAGACCACAGCCCAATCAGTCCCTGTTCAATCCTGCACTGCAAATCTCTGCAGGCATGGAAAACAACACTAACAATAACACCCACAGGCTCAGCAACAACAAAAAAACAATATGAAAAGCATGGACACAGCAATGGAGAGAGGGTGGGGGGGTTCGTTGATGTAAGCAACTTGGAGAGTGGGAGGACACAAGCGGTGGAATAATGCAGCAGCGGAAGATAAAGGAATCGCGAAGGGGAGATAGATGCACTGCAGTGCATCTATAGAAACAGCAGCGGAGGAGGAGGAATGGAGGGATGGAGAGAGGAAGAGGAGGCCATCGAGCTGGTACGAGAGAGAGATGGGCGTTGAGCAAGTGCTCTCAGGATTTCAACACGCGGTCCCGGACTGGATCATGACAGTGGCCCCGACGCATGCTGCCCCCTTGTGACAGCATGTAGACAGACAGACAGACACAGACAGACACTCACACAGTCACTCAATCAGTCACTGAGCCAGTCATTCAGTCAAGCTGCTGCTTCTGCTGCTGCTGCCCCCACAGAAACGATGTACCACCACCTCGCCCTTATACCCACCCCATGCTTTGCTATAATTCCACGCCTATGACGCCTCGCTGTTGTTTTCTGCTGACATATCCTAAGTTGGGTGCTCAAGAGGGATTGCATGATTGGCTTTTGTTTCTGACGCTCGTTGTAGGCCTCGCCTCATGGGAACCAGATTCTGTGCTGCGTCGTTACCATCAGGCTTTCTACTGTACATCCGTCGTTCATATTATAATTCGTTTGTTTTTATTTTTTTATGATTTTTTAACTTTTCTGAGTATGTGTTTTTTTGTGTGGGCTTTTGGAGTAGAGGGGGCAGGAACTATCTGTGAAGAATCACGTCTCTTGTTTTTACTGTTGGCGAGACCGAAAGAAGACTGTGGCAAGGGCGATGCCATGAGTGTGCTGCTTCTGCACATGGCCGATTTGGAGGAGACTCTCGCGTTGGGTCTAGGAAGTATTTGTCCTACCGTCACTCTTCTCTCTTGCTCAGGGTTTTGATGAGCTTGCTCATTGGGTGAAACCTCCATGCATCATCATAACAGCTACTCCATGCAAGTAACCAGGTTGTCACATAGAAATCTGAACTTGAGTACCCTTCAGAATTAGACGCCCAAAAGTTCGCTGCAAGTGAATGCTGGGACCCTAAATAACTCTGCAGTGTAGGATTCTGAGATTTGGGAGAATGTTCGTGCAGGTAAGTTTTCTTCACCTGATGAGTTCTCATTAACTCAAATTGTATGACTTCGATGTCGCAAAATTCGGGGGAAAAAAACTTTGGTAATGGATGAGAGAAGACAATGAGAATTTGTGGAGACAGCCCGCATCTCAGTTATTTCAGAGCGCTCGAGGCAGTTGAGACATTCCTAATATTCTTCGGATAGCAGCGATTGCTCAACACCACAATTAATCATCTCCGGCACCGGCCACATCTGCCGGCTACCCACACTGATATCCGTAGACAGGGAGAATTCTAGTAGAACAGTAAAATTCACCTTGTATGTACTGTTTAAGGTTATGTGTTGATCGGAGAGTGCACAGCGGCATAGCAGCTGCCAGTGGTAGCTGTACACACAGATCAAAGGGAAGAGCCAAGCAAGAGGTACAGAGACTGGATACATCACTGCAGAACCCCAAAAGACCGTTACCATTCAAGGGGGACAGTTTAATAGACACTCCTGTCAGGCAGCAGAAGAATCTCTAGAAGGAATGGCAAGCTGAACGTAAAAATAAAAATAAAATGGCTGCGATGTCCACATAACAAATTTTACGCACCTTTCTTCTGTGTACTTCCTACACAAATTCTTTTGCTCGCAAGCTGAGAATTCTAGCAGAACCCTTTAGCGTTTCGTTTCGTTTCGTTTAAAGGTGATAAGTGTTCGATCTTAATTGCGTCATTGTTGGAGAAGTCAAGGCTCGCTACTGTTGAACCGGATTTCTTGGAATATTATGTTAGAGAGGATCGTGACTAAATTTAAATTATTGTCTAGTTGACATATTTAACTTGAAAAGAGCTCCGTAAATATCTGGAATAGCTTTTGGAATTATATTCCTTTGGTCTTAGATATACATATATACATATATACGTATTCATTTGATTACTGAGTGGATATATCTGTAAATATAAAGGGATATGTGTGTTTGTGTGTGTGTGGTGGGGTTCGAGTAATGAATGGATTAGGAAGAGGAAACGACACTGGTGTTGGGCGCAAGCTCCAACCCATTCGCCACAGATGCTTGAGCTGATGATTTGTATCATTGGCACGTCACTCATGCATCTTGGAGGCGGCGTTCGTTGTAAATTGGTGCAGGAATGAAATCAATGAATACGAGTACAGTAAGTCTACAGTAGAATCCCGTGTCGAAAGTACTGAATCTATGGACGATATCTGCGTGCCGTCGGCAGTACTTGAATTATTCCTCTTTTTTTTTTCTTTTTTTTTTTTTTTTTTTTGTGTTCCAGCATACTCAGGTAAGAAATTCTTCAGCAAAATTTTCACTGTGAGGGTGGAGTATCTTTAAGCTCTGGTAACAATCAGTAATGGTAAACTCATGAGGTTGTTTAGTGCCGTCCACAGTACAACGTTGTCAAATCAAGCGGCTCGGATACAGTGTTTTACTCAATTGATTTGATTCTGAATAAGTGGATGCACGATAACTGGGTTCAGGAGGGATTGGCTGGAAATACTGTCAGGGATACTGAAGCGATTCATGATTATAGCTTCATCAAGACGGGAATGACACGTCATTTACACAAGGCCACTGCATGGCGATCAATCAGCGCAGGGTAACAATTTTCTGATCAGATGAGGGTTCCTTTACTCTTCACTGCACCTTAATTCTGTCTTTCTTCCGACCATTGCGTGGTATGCCTGGACGTGATGCATTAATGTAGAAGATTTTATGAATGGATGAACCTCGGACATTGCCATACTTGGGTTATGTTCGCTGCTTCCTGCTTTTGGGAATAACATTCCGCTGCAGACGGTTGAGTCCCTGTTAAGTTAAACCAGGCGCCTTCAGCATCATTGCAGATATTCCATCTGTTTCATCGTTTCGGTGGCGTCCTAGTACGCAGTTTGTGTGTCGTCGCGAAGCAAAGATTGAAGAAAAGACAATAGAACTGGGAACATTGTGACTGCAGCTCAGGTACTAATTTGCCAGGCCCCTCCAAAGTCGATCTTTGTTATTCGATGCTCTAGTATAGGTCGAGCAGTACTCTCTAACTGATAAGAAGCAAAGGATGATATTCACTAGGAGGTCAGTCAATGTTTCAGTTCCTCAGTTGGAACTGTATTGTGGTCCCCATGGATGACTTTGCAATCAGCTGGTGAATCGGAATCAGGAATGTTCAATAATTTACGGAAATTTGAAGCTTAAGATACCTTCGAGGTTTTGTCGGCTGGGTCCGCACCGAGTAGCAAGCTTTGTCAGAGTTCCAGAGCTTTAGTGGATGATTTGTGGAACCTGCAAGGACGAGTTCCTGCTTTTGACGTGGCCCAATTCTTCCAAAGCATGGTCTATTCGTGCTCTAAAATAGCAATCACCGTCATTCAAGCTTTGCCAGCATTTACAGTCTTGAATCCCGGCTTAATAGAAGCGGGGTACATCTAGCTTCCCGTTTTGATCGACTTGATCAGTGAGCAAGGCGAAGTAACGAATCGATACCAAAGTGCTCGGTTATTGATGTCGAAGGCTTGGGTCTGAGTCTACCTTACGTCATAGTGTCACGAAAGCACTTCGACTATTCGCAGACCGTCTGGTGACAGTGTCTTTCCTTATCGAAGAGCAGGATTGCAGCTGATAGAATTCTCCAAACCAACGTGCTGTAGCAACCCCTGTTAGCTATTGGATTGCCACAAAATGTTATAATTCATGGGCCACTCCAGACCTAAGTCCTAAAAGCCACGACAGGTTTCATATTCAACAGTTTTTCAGTCACTGAATCCTCATGAATCTCTTCCACCATAGTCGCGCAGATATGCTAGTCATAGTCTATAGGACCGGCTACTTAAGTCGAACTGGAAATGCAACTCACTACTTTCACGGTTAGGTTACCGAGTCAGTGACAAATGTGTTCGAGGTATTACGTACAATGAAAGAATTCAAGGGACATACTCCTGCTGCAGCTGAATGGACTTTCGAAGGTCATAGGGTTGCAAACAATATGTTCGCATGGAGTTTTTATATTTGGTTGTAAGGAGAATCCTTCAGCTGGTAATTTTACAGTTCGTTACAACAGTTTCAGGACTGAGTACTAAGTTGATCGAAGCATGCAATAACGGAGCAACCTGAACACGCAGGTGCATGAGTCAAGCGCATACCAGACTAGGAGCAGCAATCAAGGAAGGCGGACTTGGAGTCAATGCTCAGTCCATCCAAACTACTACCATGTTCGATTCCAAACATGACTTCATCACTTTGATGCTGTTCTATCAGCTTCTATCTTAGTTTCATCTGCACCGAACAGCGACTTCTATTATCGCTGCCCCTCATCCCTTTCGGGTGCGTTAGTTACTGTATAATTTACGGTCGATTTTGGCTCCCTTTCGTAATGGGTCTATTATGTAGAGGGAAGTCCACCATCGCTGTCTGCAACACCATAGGTAAATCTTCACAACCCGCAAAAAATAGCAGCGGCCTTCAGGTTTTCAAGTTCAAGGACCTTGAAGCAGCAACAGGAGGCTTCGCAGCAGAGAATCTCATAGTGAAGACCAGCCATGGGTTGGTCTTCAAAGGCACACTCAAGGATGGGCGCGTCGTGGCCGTGAAGAGACCTAGATCCGGCGCCCGTCTCTGGCATGACGAGAGCGCATTCGAGAACGAGATGCAAATTCTGTCGAAGCTCTTCAGCCGACGCCTTGTGAATCTTCTGGGTCATAGCCAAGATGGAAACGAGACCTTGCTCGTGGTCGAGCACATGATCAATGGCTCCCTAGACGATTGCCTACGCGGCTGTATCGACCGCGCAGTACCTTTAAGCTGGCCAATGCGAGTACACCTCGCACTCCAAGTTGCAAAAGCCATCAGGGCACTGCACGCATCGTCACCTCCCATCATCCATTGCAATATCAGAAGCAATAACGTGTTCATAGACAAGGACTGGAACGCTCGGCTCGGCGATTTTGGACTTGCAAGATATGTGCAGGAATCCGAGCCGCCTCTGAAACCGAGAAATCTGTCCTCAATTCCAGAAGTCGACACCGAAGAAGGTGCCAGTCAATTTTTCACATCCCTGATGGTTTCTAATGTTGATCTGGAGCGGGAAAATCTCAACCACATCAGCACCAAAACCGACGTGTTCAGTTTTGGAATGCTTCTACTGGAGATTATGAGTGGCCGCAGCGCTGTCTCCATGGATTCGGATTTCACTCCTTTCAGTCTCCTGCACTGGGCATTACCATTCATCAAACACGGCAACGCCATAGCCATCTGTGACACACGACTGAAACCCCCGCAAGTCACCGCCGTGGTGAAACAATTAGGAACTATCGCCGCTAGGTGTGTACGCGCTTCAGGGTCCCGTCGACCCTCCATGGACGAAATCGTGCATGGGCTCGCGAATGTCTGCAAGCTGCTTCCACTACCAATGTGGAGAGGATTAGCAGGACTGAGGTCAAGGATGAAGACCACTCTGCACACAGGCCAGACTAGTTTCTTCACCAGGGCCTGCCATTCTGATCATGCACTCTGCAAAGCTAGCAGATTCATCCGGCTACCTTTGTGGGCAGGATTCTTACGGCTGAGGAAAAGAAAGCTTGCCTTAGTGTTTGGCTTCGGGAAAGTTTTAGATAAGACACTGCGTCTCGGAACTGAAAGCTACACTCGATTGCCAGCGCAAGCAAGGAATTTACCAAAGAGTCACATGGGATCTGTCAAGGGCTCCGACACGGGCAGATTGCGTGGGGGGATTGTATACCCAGTGAATCTGCAGCAAATGAACGACATCAGATCCAGCCTCTTTCAGCCAGCAAGCTACGGCACAGCAGCAGCAGCAAGAGTGCCACACTGTGTCTCCGACAAACATGATGCAAGAATTCAGATAGGAAATTTAGCAGAGCGACGTGGGGTGCGGAGGCTGTAAATGATTTCAATAAATATGCACACTTGCATGTTTGACAGAATTAGGATCATTCCCTATACCCTTAGGAAAACTCGATTGTCATATGTTCCGCTGCATGCAGGTGGAAGGATGTACATATATATATATATATATATATATATTGCAGGAAACAAAAAAAAACGCTATCATTCTGTGCCTTTGATGAATGCAATTTATGCTGATCAGATCCAGAAGTTGTGGTGAATATCCAAGTTGACCTTCCTAGCAATAAAGGATATCCTTTATTGCTGACATAATATAATATTTATTTTATTTGGTATATGTTTTAATTATGTGGTTGAAAAAATATCAAATTATATATATTTGTATTCCAACAATGGTAAGAAATGTGTTTTAATTCTTTAGTTTGTAGACTTGTACGTGAAAACATAATTAACATTATTAAAGTGCAAAATTACATTACCCAATTTATTGAAGAATTTGGTACATTTCAAACATTTGATTGTATTATAAAATATGTTTAATCTTACCAAAATGAACATGATATTTAACAAATGGTAGTAACATTCTATAGTTGTATAATAGTAACTCAGACATCATAGTTTGAATGCTTTAAAATGTTGAAAATATATTCAAAGTAAGACAAGGAAAGAGCTCATGTACAATCTATATTTTAATAGTTATCTTCAATATAACAATTATAATTTTTACACAAAAACGTGTAATAATATTCCTTTTCTCTAATCACAAAAAAAGATGAAAACCAAGATTAAGTTCTGTTTAGAAACTTTTTTGTATTTTTTTTATCTGTATTTTTATTATAAATACTATTTAAAAAAATACTAAACAATTTTTTACAGTTTTGTATGTCTAAAAGTTAGACTTATAGAATTCAAGAAGGATGTTTTTCACAAAACCTTAAAACACTTAATTTCACTTAAGATGGAGAGTCTGAAGATTTTTTTAAAAGAAAAACTTGTGCAATAGTTTGGAGTAAATCCGTATCATTGATTGATTAAGAAAATCTAAATATCACAAAAAAAAATTTCTAAAAAAAATTATGGTTTAGCATTTTTTAAAACAAGGTTTTGTAGGAAAAAAAAAAGAAAGAAAAGAAAAGAAAAGAAGAAGAAGAAGAAGTAAGAAAGCAACATTTCTTTTGTTTTTTTCTTTTGTTTTTTTCTTTTTTTTAAATAGTTCAAAACAAAAGAATATTGTCCAAGTTAAAATAACTTTAAATTATTTAGTCAATTGTATTCAATTATTGATTAATAAATATACACTTGAAATTACCATATGTTTTTATAGTTGCCTCTACGTGACATTTATGATGCACTTAATATATAAACATTTAAAGAACTTATTCTTATTCATATTATTAACTTAAATTTTTTTTTAACAATTGTATTGTATAGCATTTTTTTCCTGTAACTAAACAACATACCTATTAAGACTATTTTTTTAAAAAAATCTACAAGTATATTGAATAATATATAAAATCAAATCTACACATCAAAGAACTAATTTGGTTAAGAATGCAAGAACAATAATTAAATAAGTATATATATATATATATATATATATATATATATATATATCTAGAAAATGACTTTTAATAAATTTAAAAAACAACCTAAGTTTGGCAAAATTTTATCACCACATCCATTAATACACAACCACTGACGGAACAAGCTATAAAACAAATATGCTAAAATATAATGAAATAAATAAACTGTCGTTTTAAGATCCTATGCCAGGAACTTATACTATCCTGTAATATTTTGCTGACCAATTACGAGAACCCTTCTTTAGATCCTCAAGTCACAGCTTAATACGCTGCACAGGACGTGAGCCTTATCCAAAATAATCGAAACAGCTTCACACATACTTTCATATGAAATTGGGTTGCCGTCTCCGACTTCTGCACATAGCTTCAGGAAAATCTAAACAACTTCACACATAGCTTCAGGAAAATGGACCGCTCACACACAGACAGAGGCGGAGATGGAAACCGTAATCAGCTAAACAGAGACACAGACAGACAGACAGACATGGCTGACTCGGCTCCGAAAGTTCATTCACAACAGCTCGTTCGTTACCGTCCATGGCGCGGAATGCGCACGCAGCGAGAATTTGGACGACGAGCTTCGGAAACGGCACGCTCCAGGACAGAAGACAGCAACGCGCATCATCGCAACGCCCGAGGAAACTACTGATCCGTTTTCCACAGTAGCAACAAATTTCTTCCACTGCTTTCCAACACTTTTTCACTCCGCATTTCTGTCCTCCACACGCCAAGCGCGTGGCGATGTCTATTTTCGCGCATTATCAAAATTAGGTCGAATAAACGGGTCGCTCTGCTTCTGCCACCTGTAAAAGGCAACCGCCTCCCTTGTCACACATCCTACCTTGCGCTTCGCTTCGTAAGTGCTGTGGAGAGTCACACCCTTGTGTTTAATTCAGCAGCCGATGTTGCTTTAAACAGATCTGCAATATTCTCCACAGATTGACAGAATTGAGGCGCCAGTGCTTCATTTGCGGGTTGCCATCAAGCGTTTTTGTTTTGTTTTGTTTTTTTTTTTTTTTCCTCGAATTTGTTAGGGTTTTGTCTTTTATTCACCGTTTTAAAGTTGAGGGAGGAGTGCCTGCCTTTTTGGAGCAGAATTTTCGAGAGGCTTGTTTTGCGAGGTTAGTTTGGGAAGATCACTGTGGAGAGATTGTTTTGAGTTGTCGTAATACAGTGATGGCGCGTGTTTTTGCGGCGGCGGCGTCTGTTACCACAGCGGCTGCTGTTACTCTGGCCGTGAGGAGTGGTGTAACGGGGAGTATTACTGCTACCTGCAAGGGTGCAGTGCTACGACACGGAGGTCAAGCGTTGCAGAAGAGAGTGTTGGGTGTGAGAGCTTCTACTAATGAGGTGGCGATGCAGACCGTGAACGGGGTGGTATTCGAACCTTTTAGTGAGGTGCAGGATCAGCTTGTAAAGGTTACTATGTCGCCGCAATTCGAGTCGCTGGCTCGTCAGCGGTTCGCGCCTTCTTGTGAGGCTGCTATCAATGACCAGATCAAGTACTGCCTCACCTTTTTCTTTTCTTTTTTTTTAAATTTCTTTTATTCATCGAACTTGTTTGAACAGTGCGTAATTTTACTTTTGATAGAGCAGGTTGAAGGTATATGAAAGCGCTGAAGTGAGAGCACCAGAGCAACAGTTTGTCGGAATGTTTCAGGCGTGCAGAACTCTAGGACCAAACTGTAGTCTCATTGAACTGACTTGCGCAGTGGATAGAAAGAGTTTGTTGCCTCTTTCAAACACGAAAAGCAACAGTACTATGCGCCTTCGCGTCTGTTAACGGGGTGTTTTGTAATGTCATAAGGTTTAGCTACTGTTGGGTTTGATTTGATCACTATACCGAGTCTTTACGTGTATTATTGCAAAACCATTTGGGCAAGGATAGAATAGTTTTATAATTTTGATGACTTCTATGTACAAAAATTGACTGTTGCAAACTCTACGCATACGCTCCAATCTCTGGAGAAGTGTGGACTTTATGAAGGTGTTGCTGATAATCTTATGGTGTTCTTTCGCTCTGCAGTGTGGAATACAACGTTTCATATATCTATCACGCTTTGCACGCCTATTTCGATCGTGACAATGTTGGGCTTCCAGGACTTGCGCAGTGAGTATTCACTCATTTTAGGAGCCTGTAGACTGTTTTTCTTTCACTCTTTTTTATCAAATAATACAGATTTGCTATAGAGTATCGGACACATTCTGAAATTATTTGCAGGTATTTCAAAGACGCAAGTGACGAGGAGCGTGACCATGCTGAGAAGTTGATGAGATATCAGGTTCGAGTTTTTCAACGCAATTGTCCGCTAAACGAGTGTTTTAAACTTTTTCCACGACTATGAGTGCAGTAAAGTTTCAGTTCGACTGCATTAGGGTGTCGGTGAAAGATATCAATAGCTATCTGTCGTCTTGCTATGCAAGCCGTTGCGTTTTTTTTTTTTTTTCTGTGCTTACTGTGTAACATAATGGTCGCGATGTATAGTATCCTTCACATGCTGACAATTTTGTGTGCTACAGAACCAACGGGGAGGCAAAGTGAAGTTGCAAACAATTGTCATGCCTGTGATGGAGTTCGATCATCCTGAAAAAGGAGACGCTCTTTATGGTCAGTAACCTTTATGCATAACGCGTTTATCCATTATCTTCCTATGTCGGTTTGTTGAATCCATTTTGTGACAACTTTTCGTTTTTGTGTTGATGGCCTGTTCAGCAATGGAGTTAGCACTCGCATTGGAGAAATTGACCAACGAGAAGCTTCTGCAGCTGCACCAGGTAACTTGTGTTCAAACCTTTAGTTGCATTTTGTGATTCAAATGGATTAGAGCCGCTGCAAACATTTTTTTTTTTCGAAGTTTTTAGTGGGTTTGTCTCAATCTCAAGATAATTTCTCAACATAAAGAGATTTTCAAGTTGTGAGATTTCGAATATAAGTGGATTCTTTTCACCTAGATCAATCCCCAGTATACCTAGCGGACAATTGCGTTCAGATGTATATTTTCATTCTTCAGTATTGCAAGCGTATTTACAGTGATCGTGGCTGTGAACTTGCCAGGCTGCCTCTGATGCTAATGATCCTCAGATGACTGATTTTATTGAAGGAGAGTTTCTTACAGAGCAGGTATTTTCGTATGCATCAATCTCTAGAGGAGAAATGCATATTGATGCTTTATGGAACGGGTCTATCAAACTTTTAGCCCATCAATTCTATTCCATTATTTATGTTTAATTAGGGTGGTGTTGGCGGTTGAAGGTTGAAGCAATCAAAAAGGTGTCAGAGTACGTCTCTCAGCTGCGAAGAGTTGGGAAAGGACTCGGTACGATTTTGAACTTTTACTCTAATTTGTGTTAGTAAATAACGGTTTGATAATGTACCTCATTTGAGCTGGTCCTTCCTCGGTGAGCATCGTTCTTTGGCACTTTCCAGAGTTAAGATACCCAAAAGAAAGAAAAGTAAACGAACTAAAAGTACTATCGTATGTCTCGTCGTGTGTTCTGAAAGGTTTGTTTTGATGCTTTGTACAATTCGCTCGTATTTCCCAGGGAATATAGTTTTTAAAACCTTTTCTCTACTTGTGCTGGTTACAGGTGTCTATCACTTTGATCTGCAACTTCAGGAAGCTCAAGAGCCAGCTGCTGCTGCTGCTTAAGGATTACTCGGGTTGGTCATTTTTTCCTCGTGGTAATGGTTGTGAAATCGAACGCTACGGCTATTTTTTTTTTTTTTTTTTGTTTTTTTTTTTGGAAGCAGACGATGCGTCTTTATATCCTTGTTGCCTTCTGTTCTCATTTTAAAAGGACTGGGGTTTCGCATACAATTTTTTTCTTCAACATTAGGTTGATGCGAAAGGCTCTGTACTGGCACATACATTGACATATAAGTAGACTTAAGGTTTAGTATCTGTTCGTAGACCAGTGTTTGTCTCATTTTTGGGAACGAAGATACAGCCTGATTAAGGGCTTCTCTCTATGTGGATGAGTATCGATTCAATATATCACCAATTGAGAATTCTTACATATCAAAATCTAAGAATGTTGAATGTTCTTATAATTCTCGTCATGTGAGATTCTGTGGGTTAGCTTGGATTTATGTTGTGATATGTTTCTATTTGTTCATGTTTTATGTAATAAATTGTGAAACTCATGCAATAAACAATTTGAAGGATGCTAAAATTTTAAATTAATACAGGCTGTCTTTTACCCAAATTGAATAGTTGTTGCTTTTTTCAAATTAACTCTATTTGAAGTGGAAATAATGATATGAACCGATCAGATAGACATATATACTATATGATCTAATTATATAGTATAGTTTAACATTTAATAATCTACAATTAAGTATACATCTACAAAAGGTAAACCTCGAGTTTTTTTATATAAAATTAAGAAATTATTTTCGATAATGTCCTTATTTTTGATAGAGAAATTATTATTTCTGGTCCTATTTTTCTTCAAAATAACAACTAAAGAAATTTAAAGTTAATTTATATCAAATTTTTATTATAAAATCAAACTTAAAGAATTCTAATGGTATCTTTTTAGAAATTAGATTTAACAATAGAATGTCAATTTTGTCAATGTATTTTACAAAACACATACACACTCATATATATATATATATATATATATAGTATTTTAAATGTTTATTATAGTTTTATCTATTGTAAGTAAGGTTCAAATTTCTGCTTTTATTAATTGAGTATTTTTGTCAATATGCAATTCTATCACAATCATTTAACACTGTAATCTTTTTTGAGATTGCTATGTACACACTATGTCAATTTTGAAATTTAAAAGTTTACAATTTGTAAGCAAATGCTACATCAGATTATCATCTATATATATATATATATATATATACATTTTACTTTCCATTCCTAGTTTGTTTTATTTTATTTTATTTTATACTAAAATTCATATGCAGTAGACCAAAAAAAAAGATGAAAAGAAAATTGCAATTATTATTAATAATACACAGTGCTCAAAATAAATGTTTTTTGATCCTTCTACTTTAATCTATTCTTAAATGAGGACTTTGTTTAATTATAAATATTAATATTAAGGAAATTTTAACAACAAACTACTAATATAGGTAATTAAAACTTCTAGATAAAAGGATGTAATGAGGTTCAAAATATGAGGCTTATTATTGTTTTAATATTATCTCCTAACCACATTATATTTAAAATATAAATTCAAATTTTTTTTAGAAACCTACATCCTATATAGAATGCTGTACTTTCAATAATATTAAAAAATAAGTTAAATGCAAAAATGAGATAAATTTTAAATAGAATGAAGTGAAAAATATTTAATTATTTTTCAAAAAAAAATCATCTTAAAATCAAAGATTGTTCCAACCTTGCCTTTATTAATATTTCTTTATTTAAAGTCCAAAAATTAATATCTAAGATTTTAATAATTTACTACCTAATACTCTATAAATAAATAATATGAAAAAATAAAAAACATATATAATTTGTAAGTACTTATTAATCAAACTTCTATTAAATTGCAGTATTTCAAAAAATTGTAGAAGATTCAAGTCAATTCCAATTCGTATAGAATTTCTTGACAAACCCAAAATCAATTTCTAGTGCCAATATAAGTAACATATAAAAATATCAGGTGTATCTCCATAAGTTTTTGGGAAAGTAATTCAGGAAATGAATTCACTAAAACAATGCCTTCACAACACAACTAATCTTGCTTACCTCGCGTGGAATTTGCTAAACTTTCTGCTCAACTACATTCCGAGTTGCACCCACAGAATGCTTCCAGAGTTTGTATACAGCAGACGATCCAACAGTTCATCATTTGCTGTTGGAGTTCAAAAGAATGGTAAATTCCACAAAAGTCCAGTATTTCTTGAGTTTCAGCAACTCCCCCGAGGAGACTCCCTCCCACACAGCGCCGCCCTAAACATCATCACGTCAACGGCGAATTATTTCATGGAGTTTATCTGTATTAAATGGTTCCTGTCATTCAATAGTTAGCTTGAAAACACAGGTAATATCATTCAGTCTCGAGTTCTGCGGCTATGAACTCAAGTATGTCTAGTTTCCTAAGGTCAATATGAGCAGCATGTAGTTGGCTTGATTACTGCAACACGCATGCATGATGTGCACGATAGTCTGCTGCTATGCTCACACAAAGCTTTCGCTATCTGAAACGTTTGTACTTACAGGAAATAACTGAATTTGGCGAGAATTGCAAAGGACTTTCTGGAATGCCGACCATAATGAATTTTCCATTGGTTTTGAGAAGGCCAAGGTAAACGTCCACTGGGTGAACAGCTGAGACAGTGTCAATGATATTATCTATCGTCGACTCAGCAGCCTGCAATCAATTTATAGATCATTGATCAGTGAGTTTATATTCAAGTCGACTTAGTTGAGAGTTGTGACCATATTTTAAAGGCTAACTTTCTTAATCGTAATATTCAAGCCATTTCTCCCAGGTGAGAACAGACTTGAGTTAAAAAAAAATCCCCAATCTAACCTGCAACATATCTAAGACCTGAAAAGCCTCTTCAACTTGAGGAGCTCAAAAGGTGTATTTGAGATTGAATGGTTTCATAGTATTATTGTCCACACAAGTGCATGAAAATACAACGAAGGATGAAACTTACTTTAATCTTTTCCTTGTCCGTGCTGATTATAAAATCATCAGCCCCAAGTAGTTCACGCGACTCTTTTTCCTTTCCGGGTGAAGTACTGAAGACTGTCACCCTCAGTCCAAAGGCTTTCGCACACTTGACAGCCATGCGGCCTAGACCACCTAAGCCTATCACACCTAAACTTTTCCCTTTCTCTGTCATTCCATAATATTTCATCGGGCTAAAAGTGGTAATTCCTGCACATAGAAAGGGAGAAGCTGCATCTAGAGGACAATTTTCTGGAATTCCCAGCACATACCTGTCGTACAAAGCACGAATTAATCCCTATGACTTAATATCTCCAACAACATTCTTTATCGGACTGTATTCGAGTGGGAATCGTAAAGAGTTCTTTGGTAATTGTCGAGAAGAAAAAAACAGTTTTAAAGATTACTATTTGCCCATGCGATTGACAGTGGTAACGAGGATATTCAGCTATACAGAGAACTTGAAATGATTCGTATTTAGATTAAGATGTACATTCTGATATAAGTTCAATCACTCACTTGCGGTCACAGACCATTTCCGTCGAGTATCCCCCATATGTGGGGGTGCCATCAGTATCAACGCCATTATACGTCCAGATCTTTTTTGGGCAGTATTGCTCCAGGCCGTCATCACATGATTCACAGGTTTGACAGGACCAAACCATGCATCTCACGCCAGTCGTTTGTCCAACTTTGAAATCGGCCACCTCGCATCCGACTTCTTTCATCACTCCCACGACTTCATGACTGCAAACTACATCACTTCAGCGCTATTTGAATACCACACACATGTTGCGAACCTAATTCATTGAGGCTTCACGGAAATGCCGAAAATATCGTTCATAATTTGGTAGTTAAAAACCCAGTACTCTGAATATGTGCCGAGTAGTGCACTCACCCAGGAACCATAGGATACTCTGAGGCTCCCCACTCATAGCGGATTTGACAAACGTCAGAATGGCAAATTCCACAATATTTTACCTTCATCGTAACATCATTTGGTCTAGTAACTCTGCAATGAAGCCAAATCACAGCAAATCACGATTAATTTCATTAATTAAAACACGTGGACATTCTAATCAGAACCCAACCAAATAGTCCACATGCAGCTTCTGAAAACTGTATATTAATGTACATGAATTTTTTCTGGTCAGTTCATGAGAAGAGAAACATCTTCCGTATGCATACTTCAACTAATAAACTTCTCATTCCAAATTCTAAGTTGGTCGCTAGTGGATCACCCTATGCATAGACATTTTGAGCCCAACCTAGATTTTAGAGCGTTTGCATGCATAACAAATGGATCAATTATTGCCATACGCCGCCGTCAAGCTCCATGTCAAGGTGTAGCACATTCACACCTGCGCTTGAATTTGTAGGGAGCTAGGAGACCAGATGAGTTCTGCGCAGCCCATCCAAGTGTTTGCAAAGTCGGCGCTTCTCCCATGACATATATCTTTTCAAAATGAATTCGAACCTACAGCCTGAACATCAATAACGTTAGGAATGCGTGTAAGCCGTCAAGGCACACATAACTGTCGCGAATTATGTGAAAACATCCAACCCGGGGCAGTGCTCGTTCTAAAATCGCAGAGATACATGCAGCATTGTCACCAAGAATGTCCCAATGTATAAGGACGGCTTAAAGTGACCATCACATTTGTCTTGAGGTCTTGGATGGAAAATGAGCGCACTTTGAATCAACAAATGAAACGACAAAGGAAAGAACAGTAAAGTAAAGCAATCAAAGAATTGAAATGTACAGTATTCTGTCCTAGAAATGAACATGCTTACGTACTCAATGAATATCAATGAGTAACAAAAAATTCCAAGAGGGTGAGAAAGGTGGGGAGTACAAGCATGGCTAAGCATGTTCGTCTCGAGCTCAACGAACATCATTCCTAAATAAATTCAAATTCACACGGATTGAATGTAGGACATCCCAAGCAGTTAATATAATGCAAGAATTGAACAGCACCCATAAATTTTCAACAACGTGTTCCATCCAGTGTTCTACATGCAGTGTACAAGCGTAGGAGATTCGATTCTCATCATCATGAAGATTGCCAAGACAAGAGGAATTGAATACCCAGACCACACAGGAGTACTACTGGCACTTCACGTCACGGGATTGTCGTCTTCGAATGGGTCTACAACGCAATGATCAGCACTAAAACTGTCTCAGAGCTCGGCATTGGTCAACAATGACTTAGGCTGAAATTAGACATGAGAGTTGGACGTATAATAATTCAAAATCCACTCCCACAAAACCTCAAACCCCAATATTCCAGAAATAAATTTTCACCGCTGCAATCGACGCTTTACCCATCCCTGACCAAGCCCCATGGAATCACTTTTTACAAAGTACCCTCAGAAATGCCTCCAAAAACTTTCATCCACCTGTGTCCAAAGCCTAGTCACAATCTTAAAACTAAATGAAGCTTCATCAAGGTCCACAACTTATCAGGCAGCAAAGTGGATCCACTCTGTAACCCACCACACATGATCCAGTCATGTGGAAGTATGTGACCACATACTGCATCTTTCTCGGTGGTGAAAATGTGTCGGTATCATGAGACATGTGAGCAGATTCCATGACCCTCAAAGCATATCTATCAATCCCCCGTGAAAGGATTCCCACCTTACTTACTTACTTACAATGTGTGCTCCATCTTGGACTTATGTCGACAAATAGAGAAGGAATGAATTCCACCATTGCTGATGCACTCAAAAGCAGCACTGAAGCCCATATGAACGACGTCGAAGAAGGTTGATTCCGTGTTTTCATCCGATAAATTCTGTTGGAAATCCTGCGGGTGGATGGAAGTATCTGTTCGTTGGACAGTTTGTGGATGAATGATTTCACCAGATGTGTGTTGATGGATGGTGGATGAGGTTAGGGTCTGCAAGCTGCTACTGTTTGATGAGGTTGGTGATTTAACACAAAGATTGTATGAGCTTTAAGATTAAGCTGTTTACAACATTCTATATATATATGGATATACCTTTTCTATTAAGCTAAATAAATGATTCTTAGTTAATAATTAGTTTATAATATATGGGTTTTCATAAAGCATTTTATATTTTATGCAAATTGTTTTAAAATTACAAGAGAATTTGATGTATTACTTATAATAATTAATATACATTTATTTTAACTTTGATTCACCAAAAAAAGTATTGCTAAACCAATTATTATAAAAATGTGTAAATTTATTTATACATCTAGAATTTAGTTATTGATTAACTTTAAATGAAATAAAATAAAATACAAGCATTTATGCAATATGTGTGTATGTTTGTGTGCAAGTGTGTATATTCATTTGAATTGATTGTGTTTATTTTTTATGTTTTAAAATGCTTCTTAGTAGCTTCTATCATTATATAAATCTTACTTGTAAAAGTAATACTAGATTGACATATTATGTTTGTTATATTAATTGAACAAAAAATTCATAATTTTCTTTAATAATAATCACACATTTTTGTGATATATATTTTTCTTTTTTATATTTATATTTTTAAATATATATGTATGAAAAATATGTATTTATTAATAATTTTTTTGAATGTTCAATGGCATAATTTTTATTAATCTTGTATATTAAAGTTAGAGATATTTGTTTGTATGCAAAGCAACTTTAGAATATAAAGTATTTTTTGATTTAAACGTGTACATTTGATGCCATTGACATGGATATTGTCACAGAGAGTTATTACTTTAAAATTTATTATTTGTATATATTGTTGATCACTACTATTGCTAACACAAAAAACATTACTAATTGATGCTAATTAATATTAGTACAAGCACCCATGCACTTATTTACTCCTAAATTAAAGTAAAATATGGTTTTAAAACAAAATGAAAAAAATATCTAAAAACCATAAAAGATATATTATTAATATCACACAAAACTTAATAAAGTAATATTTTAAAAGAATTTAAATAAATATAAATAAATGTAATAAATAATCAATTATTATGTTATAAAAATCTAAATTTTAGACTATCTTAACTAATTTATTAAGAAAAAAAATCTAAATTATAATTTCTAATACAAATTTTGAGGTTTTTTTTATTAATTATTATAATTTTTTATAAAATATTAATATTACATATTAATAATATTTTTAGAAATATTATTTTCAAATCAAAGAAAAGCAAGCAAGTTTAAGTTTAATATGTTGTCGAATATAAGTTTAATATGTTGTCGAATATAAGTTTAATATATTGTCGAATATAGTATTGTCATCTAGTTTTTAAGGCATGACAAAAGCTATTATGCAATTCTCTCTAATCTCTCTTTAAAATAACAAACATGGTGAAAAGTTGCATTAAAAGTTTTAAGAATGAATAAAGTTGTAAAAAGGTTGCATTAGATTTTTTACAAAAAACAAAGTAGATAACAATTTCATTTATAAAATATTAAACAAATAATACTAATTATTGTATATTGCAATACAACTTTTAAGTCTTTATTAATTAATAAAGATGCATCAATTGTGCACAACTATTGTACACTATCACATGCCATTGTCTAGATGAAGGCAACAAAAGATGAGTTGTAAAACAAGTTATGTACAAAGTTGTTATTCCCAAAAGAGAAATTGAATCAAGTTTTGCAATGAATGTCAGGACCCGATCACCAACATTAGTTACAGCCATTTTGGAGCACACTCTTAAAGGCTAATTGTTTTTGGGAGATTTTTGTTGTTTGTTAGGGCTTGCAAATTGTCAGTCTGTAGATTGGGTCAATTTAAGGCAAGCCTGACACTCAAACTTCTATTGCATGCAAGAGGATGTAAACACCTTCCACAACTTCTCCAATGTTACTTCAAAGCAAGCTAACACTAGAAATCACACACAAGAAAACTTACTAGTATGCACACACGTAGTGAATAAGTAGTATATATTACAAGATATTCACACATCTCGCTCTTCCAGCTTATGCTTTCCAGCACTACCTAAAGGGTTACCCCTCCTTCAAGGGCATTCCAGCAGTGTGGGCATATGGTGCACCCTCATGGCAGTTTAGCCATGTCTACAGTATCATTAAGAACTACCTTGACACACACTACCAAATGTATCGACTAATTCTAGACAAGGTAGGCTGCTGCATTCATTAAATCATAATGTATTCCCACTGCCCAGCTTTGTCATTATCCAGGCAATTTAAGACATTAACCAGAAAAACTACTTTCTGGTAATCATAATCTACCACTGAAGAGCCCCGCGAAGCCATTCCTTTCACCAAGTACTACTGTATCAAGAAAAAGAAAAAGAGATCTTCACTCCGCATTGAACTCCTGGTTAGAAAGAGCTGTCCTTCACGGTATGGCGGCCATTATGATATCAAACGAATTGAAAACTGGGAAGCCGCAGCCAACTACAGATAACACAGTTGTTCAAGGCATAGTGAATAGCAAGTGAGGATGCTGCATTTTATGATGATTAACCTCACAAGAGGGCAACAATGTGTTACCACTTCTCCAATGTAACAAATACTTCGTTGGAGCTTTCACAAAGGATTCAAAGATATCTCTGCTCCATGTTTCTTGACCATCATTACGGAATAATCTACACTAAAATGCTCAATAACGACAATGTGTCAGTATGAACCAGGCCTGGAGGAGAAAGGAATTGACCTCCCGTCATCCCCTTGCCTGCTTCCCAGTGGCAAAGCAGCTGAACCAGGAGCTCCACTTGGATTGCTTCCCCTATCAATTCCACCTCGTACATTGTATTGCTCGTGTACTCTTACCCGGTTCTCTGCCCACCACTGCTCAGCTTCCCTTTCACTGAACCGTTTTCGACTGCACCATGCACGCCATAGCTTAACTTAGCAGGGGCGAAGTGCTCCTTAGATCACATTTACATCAACAAAACTCTGCAAACAATACCGAACTCCAGCACCAAACACGAAAAACATTCTGCAAACTACACTCCACTGTTAAGTGGATATCATTGCTATTCAAATCCTAGAAATCCTACCTGAACCGCACGCGTTTCAAATCCTTCCCGCCTCCTAGAAGAGCTGTCAACGTGATGTAAACCCCAGGCTCGTCTTGCTCTACCCACTCTGTCTCGGGTTCTCTTCCATTCTCAGATGACACAGAAGTGCCTGATGCTCTGATCCCTTCATCATTTCGTTGAGCTGTATCATATTCATTTGTATCTACTTCCGCCAGTCTAGTTGCCATTCGCCCACTTCCTACAACCCTGCCTAACGTACTGCCGATGTCAGCCTCGGTGCCGGCGTGAGGGCTAGAAGTAGATTGAGGGCTACCCAGCCGCTGTGATCCTCGTCCCGAAAGCGGACTAGATGCTGAATGAGGGCTGGTAACTCCAAGTGCCTCAAAATCAGGGACGTGGGATGCTGGGTTGGAACTAAACTGCTGCAAGTGCACACCTATACCTTCACCACCTGCCGTTCCCAGTGCATCGAAGTCAGTACTGCCTAGAGCGCCATTTGGGACGTCAAGACGAGATAATGACCCCGACCGAGAATGCGAGAGTCTGAAACCGCCCAGAGGCAACTTCTCTGCCATCTCCTTAAGCTGCAAAAACAAACAACTCAATCCGTGAGCACTAACAAGGACCTACAAAACTTCAGGACAAACGTGCATTACAAGCAAAACCGACCAAGGGTATGCTGAGTTCACCCTATAAGCAGGCAGCTTCAAGAAGTTTGTAAAGAAAAAGGATTAAAAAGACACCCTCAGTACTATGCAGGACAAACAACCTGAGAAGTAAGCGACTTAATGACTTCCTTGGCGGCTCTAGACTTCGCAGCTTCCTCTGTTGCCAAGGCTATAGCATTCTGAAGTTGCTGAGCTGAACGCTGAATCTCCTTCTCATAATTTTGGAGCTGACGAGCTAAACTCTCAACCTGCACAAAAAAACATTATATTGACTCCATTCAAGCACAACACAATAAGGTAGAAGAACAAACACAATTATTAAACACAGCCGTTTCAGAAACATAAATTAAGAAGTTACCAAGAAAATCTTCTAATAAATAAAAGGCATTAACGAATAAATCACCCAGAAAGCACTTTCGACGATCGTATGACACCACATTGACAACAGAGCATTATCGACATCAAAATAATTAACTCAATGCCCTCGAAATGAAAACCAAAACTAAGAATGAACTAAGTACCTGAGACCTCAGTTGAATATTTTCGTCACTCAAAGTATCGTTCGTCTTCTTCAAATCCTCCACCACCGTCTTGGGTATCGCCAGCCCAGACCCCGTTGGAGTCGGCGTCGTCGATCGAGGAGGGCTTGTCCGTCTCGACAGGGGTGACACTGCTCTTGACACCGCCCGACCTGACACTACCGAGCTCGATATCGCCAGCGGACCGTTCAGACTTGGTTGGAATGGAGGTTTCGAAAACCCCGCTGGAACGCTCACCGCACCCCACGTCGACCCGCCACTCGTCCCGTTCGGGACTGGTGATACTCGACTTGATGAATTCTCCGGCTTCTTGCCCCGCTTCATCCCCAACTTCCCCTCCCCCGCCTTTCCAAATTCCAATGTGATCGGCGGCCTCCCTGCGTTTGGCGCCTGAGGCCTAGGTACCCGGAACTCCCCCTTGCCAGATCCTTCTTTCACCTCCATCCCCCGATTCCGGCTCGGAGCACCCCGCTTCGACAACGACGCTCCGGCTCCTACTCCGCCCTCGCTCGCCTTTCGAAGCTTCACGCAGCACGGATCGCATACCCGATACGGCTTCCCTGGATTCGGAGCCAACGACGCCTTCAGAGCCTTCTTCGAGCTGCACGCGTGGCAAAAAACCAGCCCGCAGTTGTAGCAGTTATGCCGCTTGCGAGTGAAACTAAACGGTTGCCGGCACCCAGAGCACGCATTCTGGTCCGCTCCCGACAACCACTTGTGCAGGCATACAGCAGCTGTAAACGTTGCACCGCACGCGATGCTCTTCACCTGCTTCTCCTTCAGCGCTTCCACCAGCGTCGGCGTGTTCCTGTCTTCCTGGTCCCCGTGCCCCAGTCGCCCGTTCGCACCCTTCCCCCATGTGTACACCTCCGACTTCAGGGTCACACAAGCCACGTGATGTGCTCCGCACGCTATGTCTTCCACATACGCATCCACCAGCCTCCCCTCCACCATCCCTGGCAGCTTCCCATCCGCTTGTGGATCCCCCAACTGCCCGAACATCGAACTCCCCATCGTGAACACCTCCCCCTTCGTCGTCAGTGCCACCGTCAGGCTGTGCCCGCACGCCACCTTCCGGAAGTTGTGATCCACCAGTGCCGCTACGCACGTCGGTACCAGCCGCTGTTCCTTGTCGCCGTGCCCCAATCGCCCCTTATCCCCGTCCCCCCACGTGAACAGCTTTCCGGATGAGCAGCTGCTCGCGCTCGAGCTTCCCACCATCACCTCCACCACCGCTGCGGTGTGCCACACTCCGCATGCCGCCCTCACCGTCCTCAATCCCTTCAGCGACTCCACCTCCCGCGGAGAGTATGCGCTCTGCCTGTCGTTGTGTCCCAGCACCCCGAACGTCCCATCCCCGAACGTGAACAGCTGCCCCGCCGTCGTCACCACCGCGGTGTGCCAAGGTCCACATGCTATCGACGCCACTCGCACCTCCTCCAACGGCCCGTTCACTCGCTTCGGTATCCAGTGGCTGATGTCGTTGCCGTGCCCCAGCAGTCCCAGGCTGTGCGTCCCGTCCCCCCAAGTGTACAGATCCCCGGACAGCGTCACCGCGCAACCATGATACTCCCCGCATGCCACAACTTCCGTCGTCGACGATGCCAGAGCTTCCACCAGCTGAGGATGTGACACGTCGCAATCCACCCCATGCCCAAGCCGCCCGCCCGACTCCTCCCCCCACGTGAACACCTCTCCCTGCTTCGTCACCAGTGCCGCATGCTTTCCCCCGCAGGCAACGTACTGCACGTCAAGAACAATGGCAGACTCCAAAGCCTTCGGCAGAGGAGCATCCAAGTTCATAGCGCCACCAGCGCCGATTCTCACTGAACCGCCCCCCAAAATGCCATCGCCTACACCCTCCCCCCACATGTACACATCACCCAACGCCTCAGCGTGGTGTGACCCGTCCTCGCCATGCTGAGAGCTCTGGCTCGACGAGCTCACAGCACTTGACATGCTGATTCTGTAATTGTCAGATTGCCCCGCGCCGACAAGCCTCAGCTGTGCACTCACGCTGTCGGAACCCATCGATGAACTCCCGGAATGCATCGACCCTCCTACAGAACCCGCGTCATAGTTGTTCTTTGTTTCTACTGTAGATAGTGATCCACCAAGATATCCTTTCTCTGATCGCAAAGGGCTGCCTATGAAACTCGAATTTTTGAAAAAATCTCCGCTTTCCTGGCAAAGAGAACGCACGGCTTTACAAACAAACAGTACAATTGATGAAGACAGACGATGCAAGACGCATGGCCAGGGATCACAACAACAGCTGAGGTGGAACAATTACAGAGTGAAAACGCAGAGCCGTACAACTTGCAGTCTTGGCAGGAAAATCTAACGGAGTGTGTTAAGCAGGGATCATCCATATGGAAGCTTTAGAAGAATAACTTAAAAATCTGAGGTATCAACCTCAGAAGCAAGTACTCTTGAAGCATCGTTGCATTAAATGAATCTGGCAAATCATAACTCAGAACAGCTTAGGGAAACATACCTGATTAAGATTGTCTGTACTTCCGAACGGAGACGTCAAAGGTGAACTATGCCTAGTTACTGCTGGACTAATATTTTCCACAGAACCATCATGCCTTAAGGTGTGGAGCTTCGACTTTCGTAACTGAGCGCCGGCTACAGAAGCTTTCAGACCCACGAACCAGACTTCTGCCTCATCTTTATCCTTGCATATCTGGAAACAAACACATGCACGCACTTACTTACCCGTCCTCTCTTTCATCCCCAGATTCTCATTCCAAAGAAACGTAGATGCCATGGATTGCTCTGATTTGCCGGATAAGTCATTAGTTGCAGAGTGACTAACGTATCCACTCGGCAGAGTACTCACCAAATCCAGTGACCGTTCCTCGTTCGCGTGTATCAGTGAAAACGACTGGCACTCCTTTTCTGGCCTTGGGTAACGCAGAAAAACTGGCTGTTGCGACAATCACCCACATCTGTCAGCTCTAAACTCGTAGAGAGAGACAGAATGTCTGCCACACAATCGGACTACGTTTACTTCACCAGAAAAGCATGGCTTCTTATCACTTCAGTCAGTGCTAACGAAAATTGCTCATGAGCATATCGCAAGTGAACATTCTGAACAAATACAACGCCCAGAGCACCTTGCACAGCAACATCTACATTCTGCATAGCATTGATCGGGTGAGGCACTTACTGTACGTTGCCCAGTTATTATTCTAGATACGGTACTTAACCAAAGTCTTTTCTCCTCCCCACCGGAGTACCATATTAGTGCATTCTCATCCTGCGCACAGCCGTCATGAATCAGAATTTTCTTGCAGAGAAGCGCTTACGACTTGGACTACCATGATGAAACACACATACACACAACTTCTAGCATCATACGATGCGTGACGAAAACGGAAAGCTACACGATGAATAAGTTGACCTAAGTGAAACTGACAGCTAGCATTGAATTTTATTGGTCGAAAAAAAAATTTGGAACAGGCATATCTGAGTACTGGAAGTGGATACAACTGGCAAGTATCAAATCTGTGAGACCGCACGGGATTGAGAGGTGAGCTGCAACTAAGAGGCATATATACCAATTATAGGGTGACTAGAGGGATATAATTGGACTCTGATTGAAATGGCGGCAAAAGAACTGTTGCACCATTACTTACACTAGAAAGTTTGAATGGACAAAATTTTGGTTTCCCACGCCGACCATACTTCAAGAGTTGCGCACCTTTCTTCAGTGCGGTTATGGCCTTCATCCAAGGAATTGCAATAGGTCAGTTAGAGTGTATAACACGTTATTAGTAGCATAGAGTAAGGTTTAGAATCTAATAAATTCGACGTGAAAAGATACAATAGTGGCAATAATTAATGACATGATCCATGTTTTGTTTGAGATTCATGTGCTAAGTTCCTTGACGAGCTCTTCAGACGTTTGCGAATTGTACAAGCACCACGACTTCGTCATATCAGGACGGACACATGTAAGCATTTCTGGCCAGAGTTAACTATGTTGATGCAAGCAAACCATGCTGCTGTAAGCCAAGCACTTACTGATATTTGACACCCTCAGTTTACATCATTGTCACATCTACAATAGCAAGTAAACTCAGAATACAACAAATATACGTAAAACCTAGCCTTAGGCAAAAGCATTTTTATGAACATAGCTAAGCAAATGAAGACCATATCAACCACCAACATGGTGATTGCATTGGGCTAGTATGGGAATAATCATTAGCATTATGAACTCGGTAAGAGCCCCAGAACCACAATACAAGACATATTAGGATGTTTAGCACAATAACAGTCGCAATTAAAAACGCTTCAATTAATTATAAGCAATGTGATCAATTCAGTTCACATTGAATGATTATACGCAGAGACATCATTCAGTCATGTAGGTTGCACGACTGCAGTTGCGGATGCCACGACTCATACTTCCCGCGAAAGTGATGAATGAGAATAACAACATCTGAAACCAAGGGAGAGGAAAACAATGAAAAACCCTAATGTCTGCACTCAGACAAACAATAATCACTCAATCACATAATAACAGAAACTCTACCTGTTCAATATCACGCTCCAGAACTCCATGACGTGATTGATCTGCCATTCGCTGCCCGGCCGGAGCTGAGAGCATCGGTTTCCTAGCTGACATTACAATTGCTGGACCTCGCAAATTTTTTACTCCAGCACCTCAAAGACGCGAAAACGGTGCTGGTACCTATACGATGTGCATACTGATCGTCACTATCTTTGGCCATCACTTTCCACCACTCCTCAAGAATATTCTGTCGATCCGCGCAGAAACAGGGAACCTTGCGTAATGTAACAGCCCACATGAATCTATGCAATTAAAACAGACCCTGCGAGTCCACAGCTAGCCCGATAGAAAAAGGGTCTTCTACAGCTACAACAAGCTCACCGCCTTCCAAGCACAGATCTCCTGAATGCAAGCACAAACACAGGAATCCATTATTGGCAAAGGGAATAAACTACGTCAAAAAGGGACCTACAAAGTGCACTATCGACCATATTAAACTGCCCGCCAGGATGGCACCTCATAAAGATGGAGTAGAAACAAATCCATCAAGAATTCCGGCGCGAGCAGCAGACTTCCACGCTCTGCTGCTGCTAGACAGATACACCGCAAAGCCCATCCAGTCCATCAACAACCACTGCGCACAACATCTAAACCTACTGCTGAATCGCATTGCTGCATTCTCCACAATCAAACACCATCACGACTCCCACCAGTACACTGCCACAGACCCACAAAAACCCTAGAACTCACCTCCCATTTGCCGCACCTATGACACACATGTACCACTGCCTCAACTCCTTCAATTTCTCCTTTCCCTCCTACTCCATCACACACGCATCACGCCCCAAAGAATCTCCATGGCGAAGCCGATGCACCTTCCACCCTCGCAATCTTCCAATCTCACCAGTCGTCTGCTTACATCCTCTCTCATCACATGGCGCAAGACCATGGCCAGATGATCACGAAACTAAAATAAGTTCTCTCATCCCCCTTCCAAACACGCGCCCTCCACAACGGCCCTACTCCACTGTCCGTATCACTCACTAATTTCCAGACCAAATCCCACCAACCCCCCGGCGCCCCGCAACTGCTCCTCCTCCGAAACCAACACCGAGAGAGATGGTGTGGAAGAGTGTGTGGGCAAAAGCGAGGGTTAGCTAGCAAGTAGGATGACGACAATGACAACAGAAAAAAAACGGAGAAGACTGTGATATGATATGCAACATTTGGATGATGTTTTGTTGACAACGTGTTTTTCATCCACCGAGGACGCGACACACAACGGTTGCGTATTGTCTCCTTTTGAAAATTTTAAGTGAACTTGGGGTATTAGTACACGCTTTTGGGTCAAACAATAGTTATTCTAAATAGTTACTTTAGAGTGGGGGTATTCTTTTCTAACGAGAAATAGCCAAAGGAAAGGTAATAACGTGTTGAGAAAACATAAGTTAGATCGAATAAACTTTTAATTTATACGCTTATTATTAGAGGGTCATGTGAAGACAATATTCAAATTTTTCATCTTGTGGGTTAATGACCCTATTATAAAATTCAGAAAATAAGAAAAATTAAAATAATATCAAAGTTTGAAGTTGCGCATAGTTACTTGAAAGCATTCTTGGCACCTTCCAACTAAAGCGCTGAAGGATTATTTCACCATGATTCCTAGAACACGTGATGAATTCCTATTCTCAAAATACAGCATTGTAATTATTGCGTTTCAATACCCATTTTTTTTTTGCAAATAATATTCGAATCCATATTAATTTCAATTTAAAAAAATGTAATCCCCACATTAATCTCAATGCATTGAAACTAGTGGATTGAATTGAGATATGTATAGTACCAACAAGGTCAAAGGAGGAATACAGCAACAGAATACCTAGCATTTCTCATAGTCAAGCACATCGTTGTCGATTTGCAGAACATACACTATGTACACTGTATTTACAGGTTTACAAGCAACTCAAAGATGTTCATTACTTTCTTCACACAAATGCTTTCATAAATGAACCCGACAGTTTTGAGTATTACGAGAGGTAGTCGAAAGCTACACAATACGGTCGTTTTTTATGCAATCTACTAAGGAATGGAATAAATGTAACTGGAGATGGAAGCCAACAAAACGAGTGTGTGAGTGCGTGAGTGAATGAGTGAGTGAGTGAGTCTGAATGGGATATGCAAAGACTGACAAATCGTATAAATCGCCCAACAATCTCATGCGGCTCCAACAGGGACGACGACGACGCTCGTGGGCCGGAGTGGGCAAAATCGAGCATTTCATCATCCTGTACTCAACTTTCACACCGAAGCTTCTCGATGGTTGACTGACTCCATTGCTGTCGTATACTCACTCTCCCGTTTCCCGTCTCACTGCAGCATTCTTGTCCTTTATACTACTGCACAATTCAGGCTTCGTGAATCGTTTCTCTCACTGGCAATAGCGCGGGGACTGTATTTGTTGTCCATCCAGCTTCGCAAGTCGGGATTAAGTGTTTGTCGCCATCACTACTGATCGATGTGTTTTTGTTGAGGTTTCGTGTCCGGAACAGCTATTGTTTTGTGGAGGGCATGAGGGGGTGGTGTTCGTGGGAGTGATATTTATATTTTTTTCTGTGATGTAGAAGGAGTAGCGAGAATGGACGTTAAGGGTCGTGCAGTGGTGGATGTATGATAGGTGCGGCAAATCAGAGGTGAGTGTTAGGGTTTTAACGGGATTGGGGTGGAGACGTGGCGAAGGTGCCGAGAGTGGTGATGGTAGTGCATTGTGGATTTTCACACTGTTCGGTTGAAGAACAATCTCAGTTCCTTGTTGTGCCTCGGGTTTCGAAAGTCAGCATGGGTTTGCGGTGTGACTGCAGAGGAGCAGCAGGAATAGGAGAGGCTACTGCGTATGCCTGAATTCTGATACAAATCCTAGCGAGCGTATCAGTTGAGCGAATTGAGTTGGACAACGGGGGAGTTGCGGAACACGCTACGAGTTAGGCATGGTCAATTGAGACGCCGGAACTCGGCATTCAGCATTCCTCATCCGTGAGAACTACTATTGCACGTCTTCGCCACACGCAGGTTGAATTTGATTATATTCGTGCTTGTCGCAGACACTTTCTGAAGGTTGACACGCCTACTTTATCCTATCCTGATTTTCAAAGATATCTGTAAGGCTTGCTATTTTAATAGTGAGAAGTCAAAGGTTAAGGTTTTTCATTTTGTAACCATATTTTGTACGCAGAATATATATATATATATATATATATATATATAAATGTGTGTGTCAGCGAAGCACTTTCAAGCAATGAACTCTCTAGGGGCTGGAGTAGGAGAATTTAGACGTGAAGTTTCCAGAGAGGACATCGCTACGCTTCTTGTCGTAGCTCGGCGTAATTTGAATGAAGGAAATCCGGGAGGTGCCTTACAAGCAGTAAGTGGAGTTGTGAAGTTTGATAATGGTTCAAACGAAACTTGGAGCATCTCAAATTGCATAGATATCTAGATTCCACACTGTTTCAAGACTGCAATTTTTGATGCCCATCGCATGGTTGTTTCAATCGTTAATTAGTAAACTATGAGATTATGTTATGTTCATTGTTAGGGCAGTGTTGTCAGGGCTGAATTGAAAACAAAGGTTGGGATTCTTCTTGTGGACTCGGTGCAAAGCTCACCTTTTAAATACTGTCAGCCGGTCTTGTCTTAGCCAACGCTTTTGAAAGACATACGGTTATTGTGTGTTCTCATTTGTACATTCATGTCAAATCGTAGGTCGTTGCGGCCCTGCGCAGTGTAGGCGGGGAACAAGCAGTTACTACAGCATTGCGAAGGGCTCGGGAAGTATACGAGAATAACGTTCGGATTAACGAAGCTACGGACGAACTCACAACATTATTCGCCCAATGTGCCATTGCTACACTTCCTCCGAATAGGACTTCAGACGCACCAGAGCCTATGGCAGTAGAAACGACGTTGCAAGAGCGAATAATGCTTAGCAGTTTTGATGTTGTTAGAAGTTCCATTCTGGCCGAAAGTGGCAGGGAACAGGTGGTTTATGATGCTTCGGCTGATGGCAGTAGCTTCTTGTGTCAACAGTGTGGTGGAGTTGTTAGCAATTCACGGAGAGATGAGCATCTTTCTTATTGGTGTTCTACTGCTTTTCGAAATTGAAGTGTACTAGTGTTCAGCAACGATAGGAAAATTTTGAAGATGTTTGATGTTGGGGTGAGTAAGAAAGTGCGCAGGTGAAGCACATAACGATCAATCAAAAAAACAAACTTTGGATAGATTTAGGTAGTTGATGTAGTATTTAGAGAACATAATTAATAGAAAGCTGAGGATTTCGACAAATTCCTCTATATTGAAGAATGCAAACTGCAACAGCTGCTCACCACATTGTACATCATTACAAATATGGATGAAAGCTGACAGAAGCGCTCTGCAAATATGATCTTCGTCGTTGTTGGAATTATTCTGACGTTATGAGTACATTGTAGGTTCCTGAGTTGCTATCTTGTGCAAGTGTGCGTGCATGCTAATGAATGCGTATTCATTAACCTTGTATGCTTTTTTCATATGGTATATGCTTGTATGTTCTGGGGTTGCATAGATATTATTGTACTTCATATGAGACGGGTTGACAGATCTTGTTCTAAGAATTTCAACATGCTTTCCTACACTGACATTCTGATAAAAGAAATGAAAGTGTGCATTATTTGTTGCTGCGGACCCTCACACGTTGCTAGTTCATCTTAATTTTTTTCATACGTGATTGTTTTCAAATTAAAGAGATGTGAATTTTATCAACTTTGACATTCTCCTAGAAAAATAATTGTGTATAAAAACAAATTCTTCTAACTCCAATTGGGCAAAACATGTGAACATGTTCATAATTTTAAAAACATCAACTAATTTGATGGTAGAATGTAGATCACATTCTAAACCTGTAAGCATTTATAAATTGACATAAATGGATAAATAAATCTTTCTGATTCATCCTCAATTGGCAGAATGACATTTAATACTTTCATACAAAACATCATTAAGAAGTTTCTAAGTAACCTGATAACGATTCAACTGTTGGATGTTTAAAAACATCTTAAATTCGATATAAAGATGTAAAGACAATTAATTTGATACAAATATATTATATTTAAATATGTTTCTTTTGATACAGATAACAAACAATATAATGGCAGATATATTATGTAGAAAACACTTTTCTTTCAAAGATGCAGTAAAAAAACCAATTAAATCAGAAACAATATATCCACCAAAAACAATCTACAACACTCGAGTTTAAATACTAAAATTTATACAATTTGATAGATACTAATGACTCATTCCATGTTGGACGAAATTTGACTTAAATTTACAAATATAATTAAATTACCGATATAATTCAAACCAAAGTCTATCACCAAACTAACCTAATCTAAAAAACAAACAATACTTAATAATTCTGTCTATAGAACCAATCCTAAAATTACAAACTTCTTCATCAAAGTAACAAAAAGACTTATTCTTAAATCCTCTTGACAAAAGTTTATTGTATAAACCCCTACAGAATTTGAAACCTAAGTAAATTTATATCAGATAGTAAATATAGACATCGACACAAACGAAACCTTAGAAATATAAACAAAAAAATAATAAAAAATTATTCAAAAAACATCCCACGAACATTTGTAAAACCAAACAAGCAGACATCAACTATTCTATAACAATGGGTTTATGCAACAGCAAAGAGGAACAAAAGAACAATCTCAATTCAACCCTTAAAAAGAGACAGCAGGACCAAAAATATTTCAAATAGTAGTTGCACAATTCAAGGGAGAAACATCACCCCATCATAAAAGAAAACATTTAAACACATTCTCACCACCACTCAGCCTTCTAATCACTGCGAAGAACATCAAAACTTCAACCCCAACTTAAGCTCAAGCTCGAACGATAAGAAACACAGAATTCCAAGTTGTTCGAGTGTCCCTTTATCCAAGGGGGACTTGTGAATGTCAGAAGGACGAATGAGGACCTGCGAGGCGCATGCAGGATGCGCACGGAGTTGTTGTGCCGCTTCGACAAAGTCCTCCGAACAGCCGGAACAACATCGTACGTCAGGTTCGACACACCACCGTTAAGGGGTAATGCGGTGCAGATTACGAAAGCTACTTGGTAAGCATGGGCGTTGAGTGTTCCATCCGTTGGGGACGTTGAGCACATCAGTGGCCCATATTATTTGCAGGGGAAAGGATACCTGAGGATGTGAATCGAACCCTATATATGGTGTCCTTTCCGACCTAATGCTCAGAGTGCGCCCGGCGGGTGAGAGCTGACGGCAGGACTGGGCGGGTTGTCTTGTGTGGATCCATCTCGGAGATCATGCGGCGGCGGAGTGTGTGTTTGTGCTTTCAGTTTCTTGTGTGCGAGGGCGTTGGAGGGTCCCTTCGCGTCCAGCTTAGTTGGGACCGATCCTTGCAGGTCATGGGAGTGTGCGATGAGCGGGCGTTTTAGGGTTTTCCATGTTTGTGTGCGTGCGGTGTTGTCGGAGGATGCGAGGCAAGTAGACGTGGGAATGCGTTGTGCGGAGATGGTGTGGTGCGGGTGCGAGCTATGAGGATTTTTTATTACCAGTATAAGCCAGTTCTGCTACTGAGATATGTGAGTGATAAACTGGTCAGAGACTGAGCTCTTGGGGTAGAGGGGTGGTAGTATGTGGTGTGGCGGGGGAGCTTTTGTGAAGTTGAGCTGAGTCGAGGGAGGGGTGGGAGCTCTGAATGTGACGGCACATGATTGCCAACGTGGTGGGTGTAGTACGGTTGGGAGTGGTTGAGTGGTAGCCCCCGGCGCCGGTGGATCGAGTGATGAGATACAAACGCAAATCTTAGGACACCTTCTTACATGGCGAATGCCGTGGATGAGAGTGAAAGTTCTCTGACGATTATCCACTGTCATGAATATCGAATGAGTTGTTCTTTTGTCGGTGTGCTGCTGTGACGACTAACCGAAATTATACATGTTAGACTATGGAGATGGCTTTGGTCATCCGTGAATAACAAGAATGGATCTGAGCAGAGTACTAGGTCCGCTGTGCGGGGGGGGGAGGGGGTGTTGGACATGTCCGGTGAACAGAAGGATGTGAGGGTCTGATGCGGGAGCTGGTTGGTTCAATCAGCTCGCATTTGTGGGTGGACGTCGGTGAACGTGGCGGGGTTATGGACAGATGATAGAGTTTCGAAAGCATAGGATGAGAATATTGGATTCCCCTTCCAACTGCGGTATGAGGAAAAGTCCTGTTCCTGATGCTATATCACTTGTTTGGGTGACTCCGCTTTGTGTAATGCTGTGAGGTTATCCTGTTTGGTCAAGAGAAGTGATGAACATTTTAATCCGTTACCACTCTGAAGGATGACATGTGGACGAATATTAAACCATGGCTGTGGTTCTGATCTCTATTTCCGCGTGGTTTGATATTGCTACAAGATCCGTTGAACTACTGTTGCGAAGGATCGTTGAATTAGTGACCGGACCTTAGATTTTGGTGGAAATCTGGGTCACGGTTCTGGGGCTGCCGTGCTCACTTGGAGGTGAGCATGTATGTTAGGTATCGAGTGTGGTCAAGAGAAGTGATGAACATTTTAATCCGTTACCACTCTGAAAGATGATATGTGGACGAATATTAAACCATGGCTGTGGTTCTGATCTCTATTCTCGCATGATTAGATATAGCTACAAAATCGGTCGAACCACTGTTGCGAAGGGTCCGTGAAGTAGGTGGAGGAACATTTGGCTTTGATTTTAAGGTGGGGTTACGTGCAGCTTGCTGAGTGTGTCGGTGGGTTGTCGCTTGTCGAGGCAGTGATTATTGTAAACCAATTGCTCCGCACCCGGTATCGCTGTGGAGATAGCCAGGAGGTGGATTATGGTCCTTGACATAACCACTTCAGAGATGTTATGAGGACGCGCATGTGCCTCCTGGTGCGATGTTCGAGCTTCTCGTGGATAGTTGTTTTATCCTACCCGGTTTCACCTGTTTGCTATAAAAAGGTTCGTTTAAACGAAGATGTGGGTGTTCTGCCTGCACACTGTGCGACCAATGACGCAATCGACAATCGAAGTGCAGCTTTGCCATGAGTTGTACCTATTAAATATGTTGCTCAACAAATTACCTACGCCGAAGGTATATACGGAAGACAACCTTCCACTCAATGTGCATTTGCAAACAGTTTTATCCAGCATTCGAAGTTCCATGTAAGCAGACGAACCCGCCTCATAAAGGAGAGGATAAATGTCTGCGGAAGCGTTTGCGTTGTCCTCATCACGGTAGCGCAGCTTTCCGAACAAAGGTCCTGGTAGATTTTACATGTATTTATGATAATCCTTCAACCAACTAAACAGACTTGAAAGGAGACATGAAGGTGAAACAAATGACTACTCTACAACCAGCTGAAGAGGGAATTCAGTTGTAAAGGAAGTGCCGATGTTTTGAACGCAATGAAATGTTGTATTGGGTGGACTATCTTGTTATTATTCATTGTTCAACAACTGATATCTGCTTTAAGAGTAAACAAAGGAGAAATATTTGTATGAGAAGGGAAATGAGCGACGTAGTAGTCACTCTTCAATGCAGATTAGAGTACAAAAATGATGTTGGTAAAATGCATCATAGCCTCAATTTCATCATATGTACGAGTCATACGAAGTAGCTCTTGTGGTAGCCGTCCAGAGACAATGATGCTTTTGGCCTGATCAACAAATTGTAAACTGTTTCTAACATGACATCCTCGAATGAAGAAGCTTGTAGTTGAACTTACAATAGTTACTTCATATGAATAATATGAATAATAGTCTAAAAATCGAAGTAACGTGTGAGAAATGTCCGTCCAATCTGTACAGTAAAGCTGCCATCATCAAACAAGTCTCCCATTTCTGTCCTGTTTTCTCTTGTGGATTATCAACTTGATGGACATATTTCTTAGATTACTCCATTCTCAATGAGATACAATTCCTCCCTCTATAAGTTGTATTCTATAAGTTGTATTTACAGCTCTATAACTTGACAAAGCATAGAACTGATTATTATTTTTTTATCTTTCTTTTTGAGCAGTATAAGATAGTGGATGCATTGGGAAGAAGATAAAAATCCCATGTTGTAGTACTAGACAAGGATGAAGAATTTGACGAGAAAGAAGTTTCAAATGGAAGGTTGTGTCAAAATAGGTCAGAACGGTTCGTTTGATGTAGACCATTGAAAAACCAAAACTTATATATGGTAATATAAACAATACAACAGTGGAATATGTCCACTTTGTTGTCAAACTTAAATATTGTCTTATACTTTGTATTGTCAAATTTAAGCTAATATCAATATCACTCAAATATTTCATTCACTTCTTACAAATCATGACCAACTTGTTAAAATTGGAATAAATTGATTTATTATATACTATCAATTAGAAGCTTTTTCTACAGTATTTGACTAGAAAGAATGAATATGTATTCTATTTTCAAATGAAACCAATTCTAATGTTCTATCACATGTGTATAATTATATTCATTTGTGAGGAGTCAATCAAATGCTAATATGTTGACCTTATAATGTGATTATATGCAATTGTATGACTCTTAAAACAAACTTGAGGCAATAGGCATATTACAACTTTGAAACAAAGTTATGCACTTAATTAGTTAAGAATTTGAATTATATAGCCAAATATTTAAGGTTAATAATCAATGGCATATCAAAATATCTAATAATAAACATAAATTTAAATAGGCAAATGCTATTACTAATTTTGACCTTTGTTGCTTGCAAGCTTCCAAACATGTGTTTATTGTACTTATATTCAATGTAAGAATAAAGCCACAACATTTAATGATCAATTTACAATAAAAAAAAATCTAACTTAATTACAATTAGCTTCCAAACCTACAACAGATATATATAAGCCTTTGCAACAATTTCCAAGATTGATCTCCAATTCTTCTTTTCATGTATATGCCCTACAAAGATCAATAACATTTCAACATTAGAAAATATTTTGTTTAACTAAAGACCTCAAGTTTGAAGGATTTGTGAACTACTCATATGTGCATTGCATGTGATCCTAGCCACTAAATGTGTGGCACATATCCCTCCACAAACTGTGCCACCTTTCCTCTTTTGGCTATATTCTTGTTTTTAGTATGGCCTATAATAGAAATTAGGATTTTCTAGCATTACAACAGAATTTTGCAAGCGATTTTGAAGAAGAAGTTCTGATACTATGAAGAGTGGAAGAGGTGTTGGCATCTATTACAAAGACTCACATAAATCTTAGTTTACAAAGCTTGCTAGTAACCTCAAAGATTGTTTAGAAGAACGGTGATTAAGGAAGGATGGGCATCTAAATTTTTAGGTACTAAGTAAGGCAAATGGAATGTAATGCTCAATTATGACAAGAGTGGCTATTTTTTGAAACTTTGTCCATTGTCTCCAATCTTTCAAATAAGCAAGGTTTTGATCTAAAAGTTTGGCTTCCAACTCCCATAAGCTTCTCCACTATTTAGATGAGATTATTAGTGTGATCAAGTCTAATATATTAGCATCTAGTTATTTATTCCAAATATAATCAAATAATATAATATACTAATTTATGTGCATGATTCTTATGCTAATGTAGGCATTTCTATTGTAATTAATCACATTGGATAAGATTCTATATCAATTTTAATTTAATAAAAAATGAGCTTTTACACATTTGAGTCACTTAAACAAACCAAATTTAAGACATTCAAATTCTATTGTAGATTTTATTTCAAGACGATAATTTTAGATGCTTCTTTTAGAAAGAACTTTGTCAATGGGCATAAGTTAGTATTACAACTCAACATGCCTAATATTTGTCAAGCTATTCTACATTTGATTAGATAAATCATGAATTGTTTGCAAGAAAAAAAGATTTGTCAAATGTAATGTACAAATAAGAGAATTTATTCACCTAGTCTTACTACCAAGACCTTGCTTCTCATCAATTTTCATCCCTAGATAAGTAGGACTATCTAAATCATCAATCTATTCTAATTCGGTCTTTAATTCAACCAAGGTATTTGGTTTTGATGCAAAAATGTTCTTGTGTTTTGTATGATGTTTTTCATTTATAGGAGATTGCTACCAAGATTGCTACCTTCATTGTTGCAAGAAATAAGAGAAAAAAGAGAGAGAAGTTAGTACCATGAAGTGAGAGGGAGCGAGTGAAGAAGAGGGAAGGTGGAAGAATAGAATATAAGTAGGATAATGGAGGCGATTCCTTGCCACTGCCAAGACTATGCAACATTGTATTACTTTCTTTTCTTCTTTTGCATTTGTATTGCAATCTATTGGATTGTGTTGTAATGGAATGATGATGATAATGATGATAATGCAATAGTATAATGGATGAAAGAAAAAAGGACCAAATCTAACAGCACAAGCAATAAAAAGACAGAGAAGAGAGGGAGAAGAAAGAAGGGAAAAGGGACTTACTTGTTTGCTTGTCTAATGGACTAAATGAGACTAGAACTTGACATTTATTGGATAGAGAGGGCAATAAAGAGTAAATAGAAAAAAATGAATATATATATATATATAAGAGAAGATATTTGGTTTTTTTTGTTCTTCCTCCTTCAAAGAACCTCTCTTACCTTCCCTTTTTGTTGCACTACCAATACCTCTACTACTATTATTGTTCTTTATTAAGATTTAATAGTATGATTGTTGTTCTTTTAGAAGAAAAGTAGATAAAAATTATCTTTCTTTGTTATTGAAAATAGATAAAGTTCAGATTGTAAGTGATCAAAAGATAGAAAGAATAAGTATTATATAAATGACAAAAAATTTGGATTTACAGAGACATGATGGAGATGATAAATATTTCAATATAAAATGAAAGAATGACATATGGTTGGTAGCATGTTTTAAAGTAGTTAAAGAAGATCACAAAGTTTTAAAATGGATTTAACTAAAAATAATTTTATCAAATCTCATACATATTCTAGAAAGTGAAAAAAGATTGGATGTAAAAAAAATTAGTAGTTTTCTTATACAATAACATCTAACATGTGAATTGAAATTTATTAAATATTTATATAGATTTATGCATAGAGCTAATGAAAAATATGATTGCATCTATTGTACTTAAAAATAATTTAAATCTATAATTTTAATTGTTGCTCAAGCATCTAAAAAACAATAATATATATATATATATATATATATATATATAGATAAAACTAAAAATAAGTGATAATCTTAGTCCTTGGAATCTAATCTTTATTATTTTAATGAAACAAGTGCATATATGCACTAAACATTATTACTATCATATAGTGGAAAAGTTATTGTATGTATATTTTATGTACATATAGAATATCTAAGATATTACATATTAAAAAGTAGATAATATAGATGTTGAAAAGCCTTGAATAAGATTGGCATTCGTGGAGGGAATGTTATTGTCATAAATAATGTAAAAAGATCAGAACAAAGTAACTCTATTATTGACAAATTATTACACTTAGACTTAAATTGCTTGAAATTCTATCAACCAAGGTTTTAGTCAAGGATAGATAAGATGTACAAAGATGTGGTGATTATTGAGAATAATAGGCTATAGGGTGGAGTAATAAGGATGAAAAGGATGGCCATGTAAGAATCATGAAAAAACTTATTCTTTACCTTCAAGGTTCTTGTTTGATGCTTTAACAATGCAAATTATATTAAACAAAAGTTGGCTAAGAACACTTTATTTATTATATAATAAGTAAAAAATTTAATAAAATTTAGTACCATTTACGAAGTTAATATCTTTATTTAATATTGACTTGTTGATTTACATAGATGCAATATATTCTAATCAAGTACTCATGCAACAAGACCGGATTCTTTAAAGTCTAAAACCTTACAAAATCCATAACAATAAAGATCTCGATACAATGTAAGATCAAGCATAGTAGAACAAAACTAGAAGTAACTAAATGACATTGAACATGAAAGACAAAACTAAGTAAAAAAAAAGAGAATCAAATAGAATCAAATAAAATTAATCAGAACAAAATAAAAAAAATAAACTTTATTGAGAGAAAGAGTCTAAAGCCATACTTGACTAAATGCCCAAATGGCTTCAATAAGTCCTATTAATATTTTGTCCAACCATCCTAGAACTTTCTAGAATATTTCTAATGAGTTCCACTAAGATAACTGCCTTTTTAAAAGATTCTAGAGGTAGATTCTACCATGATAACCATTCTAAGCCTTTCTAGAAGGTTCTATGGTAGATCCTATATGAACCACCATCTTAACCTCAATTCTAGAAACTTTCCAAATACAAATCTAATTACATATTTTTATGTGTAAATAGTATAAATATCCTATCTATGTCTTATTACAACTAATCTTTATCTACTAGTGTGGAACGTCTTTGTTTTGCTCCAATTGGTATTTCCAAATGGTTTCCTAATAATGAGTGAGGTTTTGTGTAGATTCCCACGTTACATCATAGATGGGATAACCTTTTTAAAGAACTTTGTACTGAAATTACGGATGTCCATTGCCATTGTGAAGATAGCCATGTTCCAAAATATTGTCCACTTCATACTCATATTGGCCATTAATCTCAACCGGTGGTAGTAGTGGTGGTAATTGATGCCAACCAAAAAAGTACCTTGGTTTATTATAAAATTCATTGAGCTACAAAACATTGAAGTTTGGATAGACCTCAATATGTGGCAGAAGCTCAATGCAGTATACAATATCAAAAATTACTACGAAAATGCGGAAAAGTCCAAGCCATTGAAGTACTAGTTTACGGACTTGGGGTGATATAAGAACTGGAAGGTTAGCATTGGACAATAATATTTGGTCACCCTCCTAAAAGACCTTGTATTGTTGGTGGTTATTTA